ACTCGAGTTTCGAACCTCCGATGGTCACCTCTCAGGGATGCCGGTGATCCACCTTGGCTTCCTGGGGACGAGACGCACTGCTCTCGTGTCGGCTGACAAGCGAGGAATGGCCTTCTCGCATCTGGCAACTCGCGGCATGGGCGCAGTAGGTCGAACGGTAAAAACAACGCGAATCCTGGGCAGGTATCCCGAAGTCTTCGCCGAGGGCTACCGCGCACGGAGACCGAGCTCCGTCCTCGCCTTTTTGCCTCTCCCTCTTGGTAATGTGGAACAGCCAACCGATTCGCTGGGTCTGGTCGCAATGCTGACTCCCTACCTCCTTGTGATTGTCTCCACGACGCCCGTTGCGCAGACGCAATACAAGTCACCGCGCCCGAAAGAGGTTGCCGCCCATGGTGCGATGACGGGCGCGCTGGCTTGGTTTCCAGCAATCAAGTTGAAGGGCAAAGACTCTGAGACTTCAAAGACGAAACTCGTTTATTGTTGGTCCAACGTGCTGACAGTACTGGATGTCGCTGAGATGGAGACGGATGAACCGCCAAGTGCGGATAGACCCCCTGCTCTGGAATTCACACCCCGAAGCAGATGGAAGGCCGACGAGGCGATCGTTGCCGTGCAGTGGCTGAGTCGTTCAGTACTGGCAGTGCTCACAATCACTCAGCAGCTGCTGATACTTGAGGACCATACTATGCGCGTGACCGACGCCGTGGACTTGCTTAATCGGCACATATACCATGTCGATCTTTTCTCCTCGCAGCTGCATTCCTTAGTCGAACAATTGAATGAGGAAGATACATCGATGCATGGAGTCGTCGCTGATGCTTTTTACATGAGTTTCCGCTCGTACAAAGGACGTCTCTTCTTGATGGGCTTCAATGAAGCACTGGTCGGAAGCCTTTCCAACTGGGCGGATCGGCTCTTTGCACTCATGGAGGCCGGTGATTTTATTGGTGCCATCCAATTGGCGACATCATACTATAAGGGTAATGCGGAGAAATTGACCGTAGGGCTGCCAGAAGAGGATGCGCTGAGGCAACCTATCGTTCGCGAAAAGCTGTTGGAGATCGTATCGGCCTCGCTGAAGTTTGCTTTTGGCCGCAACGCAGAAGCCAACAATGAGCGCCTCGAAAGCCGTCAGCTCGAGGAACTGGCCGAGGTTTCGATATCCGCCTGCGTTAGTATGGCGGAGGACGAATTTCTCTGGGACGAGGTCTTCAATTGGTACGAGGAGTATGATTCGCAAGGTGTCTTCCTTGATGCTCTTGAGCCGTATATCGTGGACGGAGCAGTGCGCTCCTTACCTCCAACTGCTGTCAAGGCTTTAATCAACCACTTCAGCACAAATCATTCGACCAGTCGATTGGAAGAGATTATCTGTCTACTTGATACCACAACGATGGACATTGACCAGGTCACAACTCTGTGCAAACACTATAATTTATACGACGCTTTTATATATGTATGGAACCGCTGCCTTGGCGACTACGTGGGCCCGCTGGAGGAACTTATCGCACTCATTCCGGTGCAGATGGAACCCTGGGTCAACGGGGATTCGACCGATGTGCTCAAACGACTTGCGAACGCTGCAAAGATGTTTCCATATCTCTCGTTTGTGCTCACTGGCCGCATCTATCCGACTGGTGAAGAGATGGATGATGCCGAGGCAACGAGAGCCAAGACAGCATTGTACGACTACCTCTTCTCAGGGAACCAATCTGGCACTTCTGAAGCGAAGGGATCGTTCCCGAGTTTACACGCTATGTTGAAGTTTGACGCATCTAGTTTCATGAGCATGTTGAACGAGGCGTTCGAGGATAGTTTCCTGAACGACCAGGAGCCCGATGAGATCTCCTCGCAAGGACTCTCGATCAACCGCCAATACCTGATCAGCATTCTGTTCCAGGTTATGACGCCTACTTCTTTCGATTCTTCAGATACCATCTACCTCGACATGTTCGTTGCGCGCAACCTGCCCAAATACCCTCAATATATCCTGCTCTCTGGGACGACGCTTCATCAAGTATTAGTGCGACTATGTCGCTACCCGAGTGAGGAGATGGCGGACGACTGTGAGCTCAGTGCGGAATACTTACTGTCTATTTACCATCCTCCGGATATCCAGAACATGATCCCGCTTTTTCGGGAAGCTCGCTTCTACCGAATCTTGAAATCCACGTACCGCTCCGAGAGACAATTCCCTGAGTTGATACTCACTTATCTTGAGGACCCCAGCGAGCAGGAAGCGGTATTTGCATGTCTACAGGACTGTCTCCGCCCCGGCTCCATATTGGGCAAAAAACAAAGACGGGATGTCGTTGACGTGATCAAGAAACGTGCTGGACAATTGGCCGGCATTGATGTGAGAAAAGCCGCGCAGACAATGCAGGAATTAGCCCCCGAAACGCATGAAACATTCCTCAAGGCTCTGGAAGACGACAGTTACAAGCAGTATCAGTATCTGCTCGTTGTCGTGGAAAGCTCGACGCGGGATGTTGCAGAAGCAGGGGCCCCCCGAAACGTCGCAGACTGGATGATTGAGCGATATGTGCAGCTGCTCTGCAGGTACAACCCCTCGCACGTTGCTGAGTTTGTGGATGACTTGCGAACGGGCGATGTGCGGCTGGAGGAGTTGCTGCCTGCCATGGAAGAGAGCGGGGTGGTCGATGCGGCTGTCATTCTGCTCGTGAGGCAAGGCCAGGTGCGAGCTGCAATGGACCGGCTCATCGCTCACTTGGGTGCACTGCAATCGGGTCTGGTGGGAATATTGCAGAGTGCGCGAGAGTCTCCTGACTCTGCCAGTACGGCGGAAGCCATTACCGATCTCCTTGAATCCTTGGACAAGTACGCACACGTTGGCATCTGGTTGTGCCAAAGTCAGAGCCAGACAACCAAAAAGTCACGGCCGGAGAGGAACGGCACTGGCAGCAAGGTTGCGTTGGACCAGCCTCTGTCGTTCAACGAGACCCTGTGGCTGGATCTCATTGAGGCAGTAGTTCGCATCGCGAGCAGTGTATTTGCTCTGGTGCGAGGACAGCAGGGTGACGACGACGAGCTCACACAGGTGGCTGCGGGGACCTCTTCTTCGCTGGGCAACAATACTGCCCATCTCATGTCCGTCCGCACTTTGGTTCAACAAGTATTTACTGCTCTTCTGTCCAGCACTGTCAAGCTAGGCGGAGCGGCAACTAGTGCCGAGCACACCGATGTAACCTTTCTCCGCATCCTACGTGCATTTCTCACTCGAGCTGCCAGCTGGTCACCGTCGCTTCTTGAGCTGCGTGCCGTCTTGGCGTCGGTCTTCTCCGCATACACGTACGAAAAATCCCTACTGGCTCTGGCCAATGGCATGCTCGATCGAGACCTCTTTGTGCATGTGGAGGAAGTCACGCGGTTGCGCCAACGAGGATGGCGGCCGCGGGGGCAAGTGTGCGAGATCTGCCGGCAACGTATCTGGGGTCCCGGGGTAGGGTCGCAGTACTGGGAAGCGTGGGAGAAAAGACAGGAGGGGGAACGGCAGCGGCGGGCGATCAAACGTCTGGAAGGCAGATTTGATCCTGCAACTGCCCGGGGGAAGGGAAAGGCTGCTGCCTTGGGCGCAGTCGCTGGTCCGTCACTGCACTACAACGGGCATGTGCAACATGACCATCAACATCGGGAAGTTGTCGGAGCGCCTGAAACCGACGAGGCTTTTCGCAATGCCGAAGAAAAGCGAATCGGCCCCGCCGTTGTATTTTCCTGCCGTCATTTGTACCACCAACAGTGTCTGGTGGACCTGGCTCCGGCTGGACGGGCGAGTAAGCGAAACTCGGCCCATTTTGCGCCGGATGGAACAGGATCGGAGTTGTCATGTCCGGCTTGTACATAAACAGGACTTTGGAAGCCATCTACCATACTAGTCATCATTCTTATAAGCATATCTCCGTATGATGTAAAATATGCATCAACCCTGCTTTGTCCCCCTGCCGCATTCTCAAAGGCATGCCATGCCATGGCCTCAGCATATTTAACAGATGTCATAATTTGGAAAAAAAACGCGTCAGGGCTATTTTCGCAGCACTAAAATCTATCAGCAGACCAGGACTGTAACGCAACGGAAATGATGCAACAGCATGGCGATAGTTGTATTGGTATGCTGACGCCACTGCAACATGGCCTCGTGCGTCGCACGATACAACCATGAAGAAATCGCAGTCGGCAGTTGACTATATCCCGGTTCATTATTGACATCAGATAGATGAGAATCTGCAAGAAAAACCGGCGTCGACAGGGGACGGAGATGACATCGGAGTCATTTCTTCACAAGAAGATGGATCCATCCATTCACGTCTTGTTCCTTATTGGGCGCGACGAGTCGAGTGACAGTCAGTAGACCCCTTTCTCACGCTTGTTGATCCTGCATGGTTACAATTACATCCAGACTAATAAAGCTTAGAATGTGATTGATGCAAGCCGCTGTTTCACTTTATTCCAGTGACTGCTGTTCCCGTCCACTTAGAGGCTGGAATCGATCATGATCCAGCCTTCTGACAAGAGCGCGGCTTGGCCTTTGGGCTGAGTAGAGGCCCGCAAATTCCCCGTTTCATCATTTTCATGGTCTTTCGGCGAAGAAGATGACTTACCCTGATTATCTCGCTCCGAGTTGCCCTGTCCACATGGCCTCTGATACATCGCATCCTGACTCCACACCTGGTCTCAAGGCGTTGCCGGGTGCCGGTGGATGCATCATCATCTTCTTCATGGCGAGGCGCCACATTGCATTGGTGCATTAGCGCTGAGCTTTGTTTTGTTCTGCTTACGAGCTGAGCTGAGTGACATGCATTGCATGTATATATTCAGATGGATCTGGACGAGAAAGATGTTCCATTTCTTTCTCTCGTTGTTGAATCACCACTGTCCTTCTCACTCAGCCTTGTGCTGTCGCTCCTTTTCTGCTGTGACTACATTCCTTGAATAGACCAAACACTCCTTTTATTCCTGGTGGACAGCTGAATCAACCCAAAATGTACATCCGGTCGACCCTCCTCCCCATCCTGGGCCTCGCAGCCACCGGCATGGCCGCCTACGTCCTCGAAGACGACTACGGCACCTCGACCTCCTTCTTCGACAAATTCTCTTTCTTCACAGCCGCCGACCCAACCGGAGGCTTCGTCTCGTACGTCGACCGCACCACCGCGCAGAACGCCGGCCTGATCGCTGCCGACGGCACCGTATACATGGGCGTAGACCATACCCACGTCGCCAGCAGCAGCGGCCGGCAGAGCGTCCGCCTCACCAGCACGAAGAGCTACACGCACGGCCTCGTAATCTTGGATCTGGGGCACATGCCAGGCGGCATCTGCGGCACCTGGCCTGCCTTGTAAATTCCCTCTCCCCTCAATCCCTAAGCATGAACCGAAGCTAACGAGGACAAAGCTGGATGGTCGGCCCCGACTGGCCCTCCAACGGCGAGATCGACATCATCGAGGGCGTCAACACCCAAACCACCAACCAGATGACCCTCCACACCACGGACGGCTGCACCATCGCCAACGGCGGCTTCACCGGCACCCTCCTGACGAGCAACTGCTACGACAACGCCCCCGGCCAATCCACCAACGCAGGCTGCGGCATCGCTGCCACCTCGAGCCTGACCTACGGGAAGGCGTTCAACAACGCCGGCGGCGGCGTCTACGCAACCGAGTGGACCTCCGCCGGCATCAGCATCTGGTTCTTCCCTCGCGGATCTACGCCCCTGGACATCAGAAACGGCAAGCCCAACCCGGCGAACTGGGGAACGCCGCTCGCCARGTTTGCCCCGGGCAGCTGTGACTTTGATTCCCATTTCAGCGAGATGCAGATTGTAAGTCCCTTTCCCTTTTTCTTTCCCTTTCCCCTTTTCTTTTCACCTTTCGGTGGGTTTGCAGCGGCTGACGGTCAAAGGTATTCGATACGACGTTCTGCGGCGGCTGGGCAAGCGCTGTCTGGGGATCAGGCAGCTGTGCGTCCGTGGCGTCCTCCTGCCAGAATTTCGTCGCGAATAACCCCTCTGCGTTTACGGAGGCGTACTGGCTCATCAATTCGCTCAAGGTGTATCGGGATGCTTCTAGTGCGAACGTGGTAAGGATGAATGCGACTGAGCATCTGCACGCGCAGTTGCCCTTGGAGGGTCGCAGGCGCCGTTCTGTTCGGCATGGTCGTGGCGTTTGAGGTTGCTGATGAGAGGTGAGGGTAAATATATTGTGGATGTTGCGTATATTTTTATGAGTATACCCTGTTTATAGTCTAGTTTCGAGGCCGACGTACATGTGTCCCTGTATCTACTTAGATTTTTACATATACATTTTGATAAAATGCAAGGAGCTATTCAAGTTTCGTGGCTATTAGGGTATGTTATCAGTAGCCGGACATTATTTACACATTAGCTATGCCAATCATAATTCAAAGCAAAACATTAGCGGCCGGTCATTCACATCTTAAATCCAAGCATATCTCTGTTATCATCCGTCAGTCGGCCCCACTCTAACAGCAGGCGGAAGAAGTAGATCTCCATGTCCTCCTTCCGTAGGGCCTTCTCGGCCCACTTGCGTCCTTCTTCGGCAATATACTTGCCTCGAGCATCGTGTCGCTGCGTTAAGTCTTTGGGCTGACCGTTCCGGTCTTCCGTGACTGGCATGTCGAATTTGGCAAAGTAGGCCAGAGTGCTCCAAACTCCGTGCAGGCGGACATCAATAGGAACATAGTGGAGCCAGGGGGTAACCCGCCGGTCTAACCACTGTTGAAACAAGCCAGTCTTGAAGGGCAGACTGTGACTTTGTAAAAACGGGAGAAATCGACCACTGAAGCCCGCACCGTCTAGGTCAAACAGATACCGATACTTCCAGTGAATCTGGAAATCTACCGGGGACGCGGCGCCCAGCTCTTCCTTCTGCGCCTCGCAATCCAAGCCACATCGAACAGGATTCAGGAGGTTAACAGTGGTGTTCAGTCCGAGGAGGTTTGTCGGAGCCGAGCCGTCTAGGATCTCATACCGATAGCTATCGGTACCTTCAACGGGCAGCAAGACCGATACGTGGCTCAGAGTATTGTTGTTAATGAGGTGCGCAAAACGTTGACGAGGCATTCCCTTCCATTCCCCTGATCGGCTCACTCCCTCGGATGTGCTGCCAATCCAGAAAAGCGTATTCTCCTTCTTCTCGTACTCCTGGTCGGGATACTCATCAGACGGGTCGTACTTAATCTTATCCACATAGTTCCACGGGCTAGGAAACAGGATATCATTGAATCCAGACACCTTGCTTTGGCTGAAAACAGGCGTCAAGACTTGGGATATTTTGAAGGACGCTGGAGAAAGGAAGAACCCGTGAAGCGACGCAAGGTCTGGTTGATGGCATACGTCGGACATGCTGTTCGCGTCTAGGGGAAACTGACCCATCGAATGCGGCCGCACACAGTCTAGGCAAATGTGACGCCGGTCCCAGATCCGTTTCGTCCGAGCTTTCGACGACGGAGGACATAGCTGGCGGACATATCGGTCGAAAATAGGTTGCATGGAGCTATCTGTAAAAACCGTCTCGGTCGTTTGATCGGCGGGCTCTATAGGAGCCCATTGCATGCCACGATCCGTCGACCATACGGTTAATACGCTATTATCGGGAGCCGGGCCATGAGATTTTGCTTCCGTCCCCAACTTGGATGCCTCCTCCCAGGGTACGGCCACGCGTGGCTCGTCGTTGAGGTTGAAAGCCAGATCCATGTCGGGTAAATATTGAGAGAAGTTCTCGATCATTTTGGCAGCACCCAGGACCATCCAGGCATGAGTTGGTTTGATTCCCTCTTGTACTCTGGGCGTGCCATTTCTAATGCTGATCGCCCCAATGTCGTTGAAAGGGTTTGTGGCCAAGTCGCGCGTTAGGTCTCGCAGCCTCGCGGGAGACAATGCACGAAACGGGAGAAGATCCGTATGGATTTGATCAAAGTCATCAATCACAACGGAAGACCTACTGTTGGCGTATTCGTACCATTTATCAAAGCCCCTATGTAACAGTCAGTCGATGGGCACGCAATCTCATATCATTTCACGTTAATGGGCGGCTTACGGTGGAGGATGCTGATCATATCGTTTGCGATAGTTCGCAACAGCATCGGCAAGACTTTTGCTGCTTCTCGCCTGAGAAGACCATGCGTCGTGATGTTTTATGTTCTCATAGATTAGCAGCTCGATCGTATGGAGGTTCGTCAACACCGGCTGACTGGCGACCAGGATGATGCCAACGCCAAAAAGTGCCAAAAAAACCACTCGCATCACAATATTTGCTCTGTATAAGAAAGGCGGTTCTTCGTTGGATGCTGTACGGCCACACAAATACAACACACCCCCAAGAAAGATAGCAAGAAGGGAGGCGAAAGCATGTGACGGATAGATCAATGGGAAGGGCTCTTGTCCATCGAACAATGTAGCGGTCAGCATAAAGCAACCGACAACGACCCCCGCTAGGATGGAAATTCCAACAATGCCGTAAAACGGTATCTAGTACTGTTCAGCAGGATTCAAATGGATGCATTTATAGCACGACTTACAATCTGAGAAGTGGAAAGCACAAGGAGCGTCATCAGCAGACTTTGATTGAATGCGCTTGGCAAGTAGTGAGAGATGACAAAGCCGTCATTTTGGTCCCTAGCCCGAATGGCGAGAATGATTGCGATCAGGGTCCAAAAAGCAGCAACTCCCTATCAATTGCATTAGATCACAACTCGATCCGGTGGCGAGTACACTTACAATTAGGCCAAAACCGCAGGAGACCAGAAAATGTTTATTTCTGCCTTCTCGAGGCCGAGTGCTTTCCCAAAACAGTTCGCTCACACTAATCAAGATCACCGAGTCAAGCAAGACATTCAAAATCCTGATGAACCGCAGTAGAGAATATTGGCCCGAACTGATTGGACAGATATAAGTCGACTGTATGCCTTCTTGAAACTCCGATGCCACTAATCCGCCAATCATGAGAAAAGTAGCCGATATGACGTATCGCATGCGACTCTGACAGAAAATGGCGTGTACACGTCTGCCAATGATGACCAGTTTGCGAATTCGCCCATTAAGAGAGACTTCTGAGTCAGTGTCCGGGCCTTCTGGGATTGAACGAGATCGTTGATTGCGCCAATAATCGTAGATTGAAACGAGGAACGGTATCGCGTACTAAGGGAAACGTAATACTTGGTCAAAAGGTGCCGCTGCGTTTGCCTTTTCAAAGCCCACTTACTGCGTATCCGACTGGCGCGCACTCAATCGTAACGGTCACCTGGCGATGCAACTCTACCCTTATCCAGCCAAGCATCGAAATCAAGGCAATCTTGGTCCACCATCTCTGATTACCCGATTTTGTAAGGAAGAAATCCCTGATCGGACTGCTGGGCGAGAGAGGCGCCTCTCCCGATGGTTGATCGACGCGTTCGGCGAGAGGGATGGCAGTGTATTTGTGCTGAGGTTGGGGTATGCGCGGAATAGTGATATCGAATCTGCTTAAAATCAAGAGCGACACACCCGAAAGAAAGGACGCAACGATGAGCGTATGGTGGGGCCGGTCTGTGAAAACGGTTGGTGAGCACCAGCTATCTGATTGAAGTCCGCGCTGCCTTGGTCAAGGGAATATGACTGCTCTTACCAAAAGCGAATGTCGTCGTGTAGGAAGTCGTTAAAAACATGCAACTCATAAGAAATACCCTGTTGGACTCGGTCAGGGACAGCACAAGAAATGAGACATCCTGCTGGGATCTGCCTACCCCAGTGAGGCTTTGAGCCCCGTCTCCGCGGAGAGCCTAATCATATTCAAGGATCCTGCTTGTTGGTAGCCAGAGAAGCCGCTATGGAGCCATTGCCAGTTATTTTATGTGAAAGCGCTCATTGCAGTCGATATTGCATAAAAACTCAAAATAATTGGACAGCTTTGAACGAATGCGACTGAAGTTGAATTCCAAATCTCGTGTTCTTGAGGACGTTCCGGAGGCGGGCAAAACAAGGATATTTCCAGAGTTCAGCGAGTGATATATGCGACAGGACACAATTCAGTATAAAAAAGCAACGAGCTCAAAACGAGCAGAACGGCAGCAACGATGTAGACTGAGCTGCGACAGCACGAACAGGGGTGGTGAAGAAAAAAAGAAGCGAGTGAGGCTAGACTAGGGGATATAAAGGAAGGGTTGCGTCAACGAGTCATTCTGGACCCATGGGGGCCCGGCAGAAAGTGGGCCGTTGAAGGAACTTTGCTGCGAGCCTGCGGAGCATTTTGATTGCGATAACCAACAAGGCATTTCGTCTCCGCTAGCACGTAGAGACACAGCAGCTCGACTACTCCACGGATTGTCAGTGTAGTAATCTCCGATTGGCTCTGCGCTGTCGTTTGATGATCAAAAGTTGATGGTAGACGAAGTCCATGAGTTCACAGAGGAATAACCCCGATTTCGGGACATTTGATGACACTAATCCTGGTCATTCGTGTTGCTCGTTGTCCGTGCTAGCGCAGGGTCCAATCATTAGCAAGGAAGCGTACCTGATCTCGGAAACTTGGAACTTTATAGACACCGTCACCGTCGTATCCATGACAAAAAGTCACTGAATCGTCCATGGACGACGGAATTGATTTCGATGGAAGCCTTGATGGATGGATATCGTCATACTGTCGCGAACCGTGGGGGTCATTCCCGTATCTGAGAATAGTCGACTGAATAGTACACCGACCTAATCAGGAATAACCTCAAAAAGTCGACGATGACCCCCATTTCGGTTAGTCCCTCTGGGCTATTCTGTTTCAGGGAAAGCGCTGTCTTTTGGCTAAATTTGTGCACGTGTCTACCTTCTTCCCTAGGCGGTAGCTTTTACGGCAAGCGGTAGGCAAGGGCAGATTATCTGTTGCTGATAACAATTTTTTTCCTCTAATCAGTTCGGATTGAGAATACGGCGTGATAGCTCTGATTCTCTTCTCTGCGCCCTTTTTTTTATGGGTTCCATCTTTGCCTAGTCTGCTTCTTACAACCTTGACCCTACTGCCAACAATAATAGCAGACGGCAGAGCCGATAGAATCTCACTGCTCCGTTGTGAGCATCACCTCCAGTGGTTGACCCTACGCAGGAGAGACTAGATCAAAATGCCACGCAAGGCAATTGATTCGCGCATTCCCGCGCTCATTCGAAATAATGTACAGGAGAAGAAAAGAAGTTTCTTTGTGGTGGTCGGCGACCGCGCCAAGGATGTAATTGTCAACCTGCATTACATTATGTCCAGCGTCGATGTCAAGCAGAATAAGTCGGTCCTCTGGGCATACAAGAAAGACCTCCTCGGATTCACAAGCCATCGGAAGAAGCGCGAGGCAAAGATCAAGAAGGAAGTCAAGCGAGGTATCAGAGAACCTAACCAGGAGGATCCGTTCGAACTGTTCATCACTCTCAACCAGATCCGATATGTGTACTACAAGGAGACGGAGAAGATTCTGGGTAATACGTACGGAATGTGCATTCTTCAAGACTTCGAAGCCATCACGCCGAATCTGCTTGCTCGTACCATCGAGACCGTCGAAGGAGGTGGTATCGTGTTGCTTCTGCTCAAGGGAATGAAAAGTTTGAAGCAGCTCTACACGTTATCTATGGATATTCATTCGAGATATAGGACCGAAGCGCACGATGATGTGGTCGCCCGCTTCAACGAGCGCTTTATCCTCTCCCTTGGCAGTTGTGATTCATGCTTGGTAGTTGACGATGAGTTGAATGTCCTCCCAATCTCTGGTGGGAAGAACGTGAAGCCTCTTCCACCGCCAGAGTCCCTTGACGACAACACAGGCACAAAGAAGGAATTGAAAGAGATCAAGGATAGCTTAGCAGACACCCAGCCGGTGGGCTCGTTGGTCAGTCTAGCTCGTACTGTTGACCAGGCGAAGGCGCTCTTGACCTTTGTCGACGTGATCGCCGAGAAGACCCTCCGCAGCACCGTCACCTTGACCGCTGCTAGAGGTCGGGGAAAGTCGGCAGCTCTCGGTGTTGCCATCGCGGCAGCGGTTGCTCATGGATACAGTAACATTTTCATCACCTCCCCTAGCCCGGAGAACTTGAAGACCCTGTTTGAATTCATTTTCAAAGGGTTTGATGCTCTTGGATACCTCGATCACGTTGATTACACCATCCTTCAGTCCACCAACCCGGACTTCAATAAGGCTATTGTGAGAGTCAACATCCATCGCCAGCATCGCCAGACCATTCAATATATTCAGCCCCAGGATGCTCATGTTCTCGGCCAGGCGGAGCTTCTAGTCATTGATGAGGCAGCAGCCATTCCTCTGCCCCTGGTGCGCAAACTGATGGGCCCATACTTGGTTTTCATGGCCTCCACTATCAACGGTTACGAGGGTACTGGTCGGTCGCTCTCTCTGAAGCTGATCCAGCAGCTTCGCGAGCAGTCCAGGGGTGGTCTGAAGGCCAGCGGTCAGGACGATACAGATATCGCTGATAGAGCCACTGGCAAGGCTTCCAAGGGCGCAGAGAAGAACTTGGGTGGACGCTCGCTCAGAGAGATTACTCTTTCAGAACCTATCCGTTACGCACCTGGGGATTCAGTGGAGAAGTGGCTGAACAAAGTCCTGTGCCTCGATGCGACGCTGCCAAAGTCCAAGATCAACACACAGGGCTGCCCACACCCGTCACAGTGCCAACTCCTACAAGTCAACCGAGACACGCTATTCTCTTTCCATCCAGTTTCTGAAAAGTTCTTGCAGCAGATGATGGCTCTGTACGTTGCCAGTCACTACAAGAACACTCCTAACGATCTCCAACTGATGAGCGATGCGCCTGCGCATCAGCTCTTCGTGCTGGTGCCCCCCATCGACGAAGACGCTACCAAGCTTCCTGAGCCACTTTGCGTTATTCAGGTGGCTCTGGAGGGTCGTATCAGCAGACAAAGTGTTCTGAACAGCTTGAGCCGTGGCCAACGGGCCGGTGGCGACTTGATCCCATGGCTTGTTAGCCAGCAGTACCAGGATGAGGACTTTGCCAGTCTCTCAGGTGCCCGAATTGTGCGCATTGCAACCAACCCAGAATACATGAACATGGGTTACGGATCCCGCGCTATGGAGCTCCTGATTGATTTCTACGAGGGCAAGTTTACGGATCTCTCCGAGAACATCCCGGACGCGCAGGAAGAGATGGTTAGGGTCACTGATGAAGAGCTCACCAACTCATCTCTCCTTGATGACAACATCCATGTTCGGGACATCCGCTCTATGCCCCCTCTGTTCGGCAAACTGTCCGAGCGTCGTCCAGGCGCACTGGATTACGTCGGCGTCAGTTACGGTTTGACACCCCCTCTTCACAAATTCTGGAAACGCTCTTCGTTCGTTCCTGTCTATCTTCGCCAGACCCCAAACGAATTGACTGGTGAACATTCTTGTGTGATGCTGCGCACACTCGCCTCCGCAGCCAGCGACGCTAGCTGGCTCGGAGCCTTTGCTCGGGACTTCCACAAGCGATTCCTGGCTTTGCTCTCCTACCAGTTCCGAGAATTTCCCTCTGTGCTCTCCCTCAGCATCTGCGAATCCGCCACTGCGGGCGCTAAGCTCGACACCTCGTACACCCCATCTTTGCTCAAGAAGAGCGATCTCGACGCGGCCTTCTCCCCCTTCGACCTCAAGCGCCTTGACAGCTACGCAAACAACCTGCTTGACTATCACGTCATCCTCGATATGGTTCCCACCATTGCGGAGTACTACTTCGCCGGCCGCCTGAGCGGCAAGGTCAACCTCTCCGGCGTCCAGCAGTCCATTCTGCTCGCCATCGGCCTACAGCGAAAGAACCTCGACGACGTCGAGAAGGAGCTAAACCTGCCCTCATCGCAGCTTCTGGCCATGTTCCTCAAGATCGTCCGCAAGACGTCAACTCACTTCCGCGGCTTGGTCGAGGGCGCCGTCGCAGAGACACTCCCCGCCGAGAAGGTGCCCGTTGCGCAGACTTCGGCCGATGCGCACGACGAGGTTGTCGACGAGCGGTTCAAGCCCCTGGACACAGGTCTKGAGGATGAGCTGCGCGAGGGCGGCCAGCAGATCGACGCAGAACTGAGGGAAAAGCAGAGAGCCTTGATTGATTCTCTGCCTCTAGACAAGTGAGTCAACCCAAACCCACGCTTACAACACTCTGTGGACCCCGTCGTTGGACGAACAATAACTGATTTCTAGCCTCCAGATACGAGATCGATAACGGCAGCGCCGCGTGGGAGGAAGCCGAGAAGCAGATCCGCAGCGGAGGCGCCTCAACCGTCAGCATCAAGTCCGCGAAAGCAAGCAAGCGGAAGAAGGGCGAGACCGCGCGAGAGATCTATGACCAGGAGATCGAGTCGAAAAGACAGAAGATCATCAAGAAGGGAACCGAAGGGCGAAAGAAGGCGTGAAGTATTCACCTGAATTATTCCAGCCTTGCATGAAAGAACGGTGTTATGGTATTCTCTTGTGAAGAGGTTTTACGTTTCTGTATATATGCCCTTGTATATCCAAAAAGTTTGAATAGAGGTTCGCATATCGCATACTCTCATCCTTGTCAAGAACGCCTTTTGCTTGAGGATACGTAACATAGAAACTATCTCGAAAATTTACAACTCGTCATGGTCACCCGTCTCTTTATCAGCCTCCTCCTTCTGCTCGACAATAACACCATCGGGCAACTTGCTCTTCGACCCCTCACCCAGTCTTATGGCATCAATCCACGCCTCCACAGACACGGCGCCATAATCCTGCCTCTCCGACGCGTCGTAGCGCCTCCACCAACCCCTGCGGCCATTCAGGGCAATGATCTCGACCGAGGTCTGGTCCTCGGACAATCCCAGCCCAGCCCGCAGAGTCTTGGCCCCGCTGTTGATAGCGGGGATACTGTAGAACGGGAAAAGCTTGCCCTTGCGCAGGGCGTGCTTGTGCGCGACCTCCGATAGACTGGCCAGCGCCTCTTTTGCGGGACTGGGGACTTCTGCATCCGCTTCGCGAGGCTCGGGGAGGAGCGCTAGGACGCAGGTACCAGATGTAGGCTTTAGGCAGGCGGCCTCGAGTGCCTCTGCGGTAGGGAGTACGGGGATGGGTGGTGCCTGGATCGGGACCTGGGCGGGCTTTGACTCTGTAGCGTCGTCGGGGACGATCTTGGGGTCGGGGGATTCGGTAGGTTTCAAGTTCTCTGCGTCTTCGTTGATGATAGTGGTAGATTTGGCGGACTTGGCGGACTTGGTGGACTTCGAGGATTTGGCATCTGTTGAGGCGGGGGCCGGGTCCGGGTTTGGAGCCGCGACTTGGCTGAGGAACTCGACGATGGCTTGTTTCTTGAGTTCGCCATCGTAGACGATGGGTTCCTTATCACCACCAGGGACCAGGACGAGGGTAGGGAATTCCTTGACACCAAATTTCTCCACGGCGTTCGATTCCTTGTTGCGAATCTGGCCAACCTTGACGGAACCGAGGAACTCAATGGCGACGGCTCTGAGGAGAGCACTCGTGGTACCTTTCTCGGTGAACAGAATAGCCTTGGGAGCCTCCTTGTCCTCGGAGAGCCACTGATCCAGATCCTTGTCCGTGACCTTCTTCACATGATTGGGGATTCTGTCCACAACAGCATCGACGATGGCCTTAGCGCTTCTTGCTCCCTGATAATCCTCTACTTTTGGCTTGCCGGGTTTCTTAGAAGGTGTGATAATTTTCAGAGTTGGGAAACCTTGTACGCCCATCCGACCACACAAGGGCTTGTTGGCATCGTCATCGCAGTTCACAGCTGCGACCTTGGCCAGTCCCTCCAGGTTCTTGGCTGCCTTTTCGTATGCAGGCTTGAGGTTCTGACAATGGCCACACCAAGGAGCATAGAATCTAGTGCGCATACGTTTTAGAAGCTTTTCGATGAGACTAATCGCGAGGGTGGGGAGCTTACTCTACGATCTGCGAGAAGAGTTAGCATACAGACACCCTACGACACAATACGCTTCGGAGCTATCTTACCGATGTGTAATTAGAGTTAGCAATCAGCTGGTCATAGGTCTTCTGAGTAACCTGCAGCACAGGAGACTTCTTAGTGTACAGCCCATCTGCGTTGACGGACGAAGCCGCCAAAAGCGATGCGACGAGCAGAAGTGCAGAGCTTGGCTGCATCATATTGAAGGAAATTCACTGCCTGTAACTCGGATGATTAGTGATTAGTGAGGAGATGGTAGCAAAGCACATCAGACAAGTATCATGATTGTCTAAACGTGGACAGCAGGCGTATTTAGAGCTGTTTGTCTGGGGTGTTGAAGCAAGGTGTCCTGAAGCTCTTGGCATGTGACGGCGGAGGTCAACAAACTCCGCCATGATGCAAACAAATCATGCACCCATCTCCAGCTTCCCCAAGACGCCAATGGCTTATTCGTCCACAGCTTTGTCTACCTAGTCTTTTAATTAACTAGCATGCTCAACTTCGGTCGAGACTACAATCGACAATCTCTCATCGTCCATTTCTTGGGTGATGACATCTAATTGCTCCCAGGTACTCTGCTATTCCCCACACTTAAATAATGGCGGAAACAAGGGTCTCGTTGGAGTCTCCACGGGCATCAGGAACAGTGGACTTTTGCCACCTGCCATTGGAAGTCTTCTGGATGATCTTGCAGTATCTTGATGCCAGGGATATTGTACGATGTCGTCAAGTTTCCAAGTATTGGAACGAAGCATTTACCAACCCGGAGCATCTCGTTCGCTTATTGATTCGACTGTTTCCTCGAGCCCCAGAGGTTCGGGCGCTGAAAGGCAAACAGCCATTGGACGAGTTACTCTTAACAGTTCAGAATGGTCGACATTGGCGGGAACTGTTCGACAAGGTTGCCTCGAGATACCATCATCTCAGCCGGGGCAAGCCACGGTCGGTCCAAAAGCTCAAGCTCTGCGATGATTATGGAGTCTCAGGACAAAGAGAGTGGTTCCAGGTACAGCCTTGGGATAGCCATGCCAGTCATCTCATGCAGCGCGTTGATTACCTCTACCCCGAAACGTTCTGGACCTACGAGGATGGTCTGCTAGTGTACCCCAGCGCATATTATTCCTCTTTGGTACTCATGGATGTGGAGACCGGTAAACAGGTTATGGTACCGTTCTTGATTATCGGTAAGGTGATTAGGAGAATACGCTTGCAGAAACGAGTCCTTGTAGTGGAATGGGCTGAGCCAAAGGCCTTTCACTGGCTGAATGACAGCGACGGTGTCCATCGTCATTTTGCATCTTCATTTGATGTGACTCAAGAAGCCAATGGCTGCTGGAGCGTTGCGTTTCGCAATGAGTGGAAGATCATGTTCCTCGGCCACCCTCTGAGTGAAAGAGATCGGTTCTACTCCACTCATAACAAGACACATTATGTGATCTACATATGGCAACCCAATCGCAGCTTGTACACTGCCGACGAGGATGCCCCAATTGAGTCCCTGTTCGTTTGGGACATTTCAAAGCCATCTCCATACAGGCCCTCTCTGGATCCTACAGGGTGTCAACGGAGCGAAGAGCAGGATCAAGCTCCCTCCATTGTCTCACGTTTCGGTTTTAGAGAGTTAGGGTTCTTCTCCGTCAGACAACGAGGAGTACCAGGCATGCAAGGCTTAGAAATAACCGATGATAACCAAGCCATAGAAATCATTGAGAACTTGTGCACAGGACCGCTTGACCGACTCGTCGGACCGACGGAGTGGACATCTCAAGTGCAGATCACAAGCATTCCACTGATTGGCGATGGACCAGTCTGGAGGCGAGACGTTGACTACATCCTATCTCCTTACCGCGGGAGCAATGGGTTACAGACAAAGCCACTCGGTCTGCTTTGCAAACAGTTCTGGTACACTGTCATTTCGGAAGTGTATGATAAAAGATCAAAGGCCGGATTCGCCTTGCATCTGTCTCCACTGGGTTGGCCTTTTGATTCGAAGATTTATTTGAGCATACAGACACCATACTCTCGAATTGTCTTGAAACCTGACGATGCTTTTGAACTCGCGGGTAAGGGAAAGATTTGCGGAAACGAGAAATTCGTGATAGGCGAAAATGCGAACCGCGAACTTGTCATCTGGAGATTCGATCGCAAGGTATGATTGGCTTCTTGGACCAACCACAAAGCTATTATAGGTCTCGCGATCTGGACATTGCCCTTGCTACGTCTACTGAAGCGGGTAATTTCTCAATACCCAGCTTCTCAGGTGACCGAGGGAAATTGTCTATGGGCCAGCGAGGATTGAGGCCTAAAGTCATGAAGACAGACAATTATTCGTTCGGTGACTATTGAGGTGCCGTCCTCTCATGAACCAATTGAACAATAACCCCTGTGCCAGCTGGACTGGCAGGTCCGATCCATGGAGGACAAGTATGGTCGGTGCGAGCTTTCTTACTCCTTCGTCTCAAATGAAAGTAAGTCACTGGAATTGAAGGCCGCCGTACTTATACTACAGAAACCGCCGCTACGGGGAGAGGGTCTAGATAGCCGCTGGGATTTTGTCCTCAACTGCATTGACTGGCCCATTCCTTGCAGAGATGCAGCTTGAGTTTCCTTTGTGAATGGACCGGGAATAACCTGCGATAATTGCAGACGATTCAGATAGCTAGCCTTGAAGCCTTAAATTCATGGCTAGATTAACTGCGACAACCCATTCAGGATCGTGATGTAGAATGTTGTTGTAGTATGTAAGGTAGTAGTAGTGCCAAGTCCGATCGCTAATTGGCCGCAGATCATGCCTGGTGGCCTAAGGCAGCCGCAGCCTGTAGACGGTTAGGGTACGGCTAGTCCCGAACAGGCTAAGCGAAGCGCCCACACAGAACGGGCCCAGCGAAAGGCTGTCTCTGTGTGTGTGCGAATTTCGAGGTTTGACCTGATCCGACTCCCTCCAACGACGACAACGACGCCCATCCCTCTCACCCCCCGGCTTCCTCTTCAACTCCCACCGTTCACCTTCGAGGTCACAAGTCGTCAAAATGGGTGGTGTCACCGTTCGCGATGTGGACGTAAGTTTGCTCCATTCAGTACCCTGCAGTCTGCGACACCTGTTTCTCTCTTGGCGGAGAGGCCGCAATGGATTATTGGCAATGGGAAGAGGAGGAATTTGATAAACGGGATAAGGATGCTACGGAAGCGACATTCCTTGATATTCAGCTTGTTCGCGCATATGGAAATTCACGACAAAAGTCTGCAACCTGAGGATGTCGAATCTTTGACGGGACTGAGATACGGTCGGAAGAATCGGTCACAACACAGCGCACATTCGACTGCATGGAAAGCGAGATTATGAACGAAAATTTCGCTGGGATCACCGTTGCCAATAAATCCAGGAGAGACCAGGAAGCAAGGACGAAGAAACATGTGAAGGACAAGATCTGTGCTAACGAGTGATTGTTTTCTACCTACAGGCGCAGAAGTTCATCGCTGCCTACTCTGCTTTCCTGAAGCGTCAGGGCAAGCTCCCCATCCCTGGTTCGTTCGGCCTCCGCAACAAGGATCTCACAGGACATTTGAAACTGATGATTATTAGGATGGGTTGACACTGTCAAGACTTCTTCCTCCAACGAGCTCCCTCCCCAGGACGCTGACTGGTACGATTGATCTCGATTGATCCCAATTGAGTCGACCTCCTCTGACAGCTAATGATTGCAGGTACTACGTCCGCGCCGCTGCCGTTGCCCGTCACATCTACATGCGCAAGACCGTCGGTGTCGGCCGCCTGCGCAAGGTCCACGGCTCGACCAAGAACCGTGGCGCCCGCCCCAACCACCACGTCGATGCCTCCGGCTCCGTCGACCGCAAGGTCATCCAGTCTCTCGAGAAGATCGGTGTCCTTGAGTACGATGAGGAGAAGGGCGGTCGCCGCATTACCCAGGCCGGCCAGCGGGATCTTGACCGGATTGCCAAGACCACTGTTGACGAGGAGGAGGAGGACGAGGAGTAAATTAGTCTCCTACTAAAACAATAAAAAGTCCCTGATGTCTTCATCTTGAACCTCCGGTGTTTTCTCCATGTCTAAGAAATTGTCTTCAGATTACGAAGGGAAAAAGCTGGTTGGCTTTGAGTTGAACCGGTCAAGTTACATACAAGTCGGCAACATGGATGAGTTGGATTGATACACTATGGATTCAGCGGGAGAGGAATGAAACTTTTTTTTACCCTTTTTTTCACCCTATTCCATTCCGACAGTTGTCGATGATGACCAGATGGGGATGGGCCAGCGGAGAGACGAAAGCACGTCTCCTCTGTAAATAGCCAGACAGAGGGAGCCATCTGTCTTGTGTCTAATAACGGGATACGATATTACTCTCACGTCCATCTTTCTGCCATTACGTAGCACGCGGATCCCTCTACTATACAGTCTACACCCAGAATACTCATTTCTTCCCCGACTGCGCAGCCGTATCCTAGAGTAAAACACCGCGTCAGCCTCACCCTTCTTCATCCCGCAACGAGAAAGAAACCTACCAAATAAACCTGATAAAACTTCATCCTCAACCCCTCCCCCTCATTATCATCGAAAACCACCCTCCCCGCCCAGGGGACCTCCACCTCCCTCCCCGGCTCCGCCTTTAGCACATACCTCACCGTCCCATACAGCATGAGCTCCCTCGCGCCCCCGAAATAGATCTTCTGGGGGGAGTGTTTCCTCGACGCTACATGCGTCCAGAGACCGTGGCGCAGGCTTAGGATTTCTAGGACAGCCCAGATTAGCACGGACTTAAGTTGTTGGAAGGAGGCAGAGGCAGGGGCTACCGTCCGCTCCGTTGGCGACCTTGGGCCCCATGATCAGGGTTGCGTCGGGTGTAAAGCTGGCGACGTATTGCGCGTGCTGGGATTCATTGTCGCTGATTTGGTAGAAGGATTCCATGAAGGAGATCATGGCGTTTGCGGAGGGTGGGGAGAGGGTGGAGTCGGTGGTGATTTTGTAGGACATTTTGATTGTATGGGGATATGAATTTGGACTGGGGTTGTCTATTTGTGTCTGTGAGAATGATTATCTGAATGATTTATCTACAAGTGTTTGATGCTAATCTATGTTGTGATGTCAATGCCGCGGTATACCTCTTGCAGGTTTCGGGCCGATGCTCACTGTCCGTATCCGACGTTCCGATCTGGTTGTATCGGAGGATGCGGGTTGGGTTGCGGACTCAAGGACATGGCCGATCAATCTGACCAGAGCGATGAAGGTAGCTTTGTTACAGTAAGATCTAATCTAGAGTGTGATTCGGTTGATACAGTATGTACAATTGCTTCCGTTAAGCCTTCTTGTAGTCCTCCTCGGGCAGCTGGAAGTCCTCCCAGCTAGGTCGATCGGAGCCGTTCGGTCGACTGGCGCGCGAGAAGCTGTTGTCCACCCCGTCAATTTCCGCAATAGGTTTGACAACCTCAATGTCGGCATTGTACGCCTTGGAGAACCATTTCTCTGTGAGCGCCTCCTGTCCGGCCGCGTCGTCGGGGCCTACATAGAGATGCGGAAACCGCGCCTGCATGATCTTCAGGACGGTTGAGGAGATGCGATCCACGCTATCGCAGTGCCGAAGCTTGAAAAAGTCCGGCGGTTGAGCAGCCCGCATCTTCTCCTGCACAGCATCCGAATACTTGCCCACGGCAAAGAGCAAGAGGTCATAATGCATCAGAGAAGCCATTCCGTGGTAGGATCCGCCGGTCTTTGCACGGTGGTAGAGCCCTGTGAGGGCGGCAATGGCGCCCATGCAGCCTGTGCCGTAATCAGAGATGGGAAACGGAGGTACCACCGGAGTGGAGAGGCCCATGAATTGCCCTTGAGCCCATGCAATACCAGTTACCTGATGAGAGTCAGTCTTGCCCATGTTGCCCGTATTTAGTGAGAACTTACGCAATCAGCAATTTGCTGCCAACCAGGACGGCTGGCCCATTCTCCTTCGTAGCCAAAGCAGTTCTCATTGACGTATACGATGCCCTTGCCACGCTTCTCCGCCAGCGAGGCGAGAGCGTTTGGACCGTATCCCAATTTCTCGAGCGCACCTGGGCGATAGCCATCGACAAGCACATCCACATCAGCCAAAAGTTCCTCGAACTGACGACGTCCTTCCGTAGTCTTCAGATCCAGATCCGCGGCATGCTTGCCCATGTTACCGTCAACCTGGAAAAAGGGGACATCCGAAAGATTAGGGCTAGTGATCTTCAAGACATCTGTGCCGTACTCGGTCAGAATCCGCGTAACGGTTGGTCCCGCGATAATACGGCAGAGTTCCAGCACCTTGACACCCTCTAGGATCTTTCTGCTTCCACTGCGACTGGCGGGGAAGGGAGTCGGAGGCAAGTCACCAGTAAGACGCTTTACCTTCCATGGAGGTTCCTGCACATTAAGCCGTCCCTGTGCAACAATTAGCTTATCGTTCGGCTGCAACAGAAATATTGACTGAACGAACATGGGGAGTATTGATGAAATCCTCGTATTTGAATGCCGTAACCCCAGCTTGTCTCCTCTCCTTGTTCATCTCTTCTAGCTCGGCAGCGGTGTACTTTTGCACGTGGCTCTCAATGACCTTGATGATCTCTTCGTAGTCTGTGAGATCGGGACGGTGACCCTCCAATCCAATCATGTTGAGTGTCGTCGTAGCCTCAAGGGAGCCATGGATATGAAAGAACTCGCCCTCGTTCTTGGTTCTATAAAGGTTGGCGGACATCCGACGGTATCCATTCGACTGGGCCGCAAGCAGGTCGGTATCTGAACAGATCAGCCTTCAGAGGAAGGATATCTTCAAGCTTAACTCAGCCTACCTTTCAACTTCGACTTGACAGCTGGATCCAGTTTAGAAAGTCCGTCAAGTTTGGCCATGTATGCCTGGCATCCGAAAGCTGTCGCCTTCTCCAGGTCGATCTTCACATTGCGCTTCTGTTCACCAAATCGTAAGTCGGCAATTGCGCTAGCGACAGCACCTTCGACTCCCTTCAATGCGGCCAATGTCTCAGTTTCTTTGAATGGGATCGGGTAGTAGATCTCGTTATGGGAAGATGAGAATGACACGGCATCCTTCTTTTCCACGATCTGCGGCGGCAAACTGAGTCGTTCAGCTTGATCACAGAGATATGAGAAGATTCGGCGTGCTTCCTGAACAGGCGAATACGAGGTGTCTGTTTCTGTGTCCGTCATGTTGACTCTCGGTTTCTGCGTTTAGACAGCAATCCTGCGGTTTGAATGTGGACTCTGATTGCCGGATATGGGTTTGTGCTCATCCAAGGAGTTAATGCTTTACAATTCATAGTACGTGTGGGAGACGGTAATGACTCAAAAGTAGATTTTCAGAGAATTTATTTAAGCAGATCATTGAATAGAGAAGATGATGCGGGAAGCGCATCGCCGTGTCCGATTCGATTCCGAGCTATCGCCCGTCGGGTGGATGCATGCAAAGAATCATTTAGCACCGCAAGCGCGTGCTGTACGATCACAATTAGGAAGATTTCGAGGAAACAGCGAATGAGCATTGAGCATTCTCTTGTGAAATGTCAACCCCGCACAGGGAGGTTGAGATCCGAAGACATTGCGGGTTGGGAATATTTCGATCGGATGTTAGTTGATTGAGGCCGATAAGATCGGAAGACACAGTGGATAGTGCTTATCTACGGTCATGTGTATTAAGTCACGTGATGTAATGGAGGAAGATGCGATCAAGACATTTTGGTCTCTTGCTCCGTCTTTCTTGGGGGGAAGAGAGATACCTTAGAAGAGCACAGCGGATCGCAGGTGGCAGCATTATATCGGACACGTTAGTCAATGGTCTCTGGGGTTCAACTATTATTGTCAACAATATCGCAGGGGAATCCTCTTCCGCTGTCCCCCCTGAGAGGAGCATAAGATCTGATGTTGCGTCATTCCGGAGATGATCTGCCAAGTATAAAAAGGTATATCTATGGGATTTTCAAGTAAGCGAGCCGAGGTACTCTCAGTCTGTTTGGAGATAAAATCAAACAAGGCACAGTGAAAGATGTGCATACTCTGTATATAGCCAGACCAAGATAATCAGTATTGCTGTACAGCGAACCAATTGGCATTTGGATTGATAATTATGCAGGCGAAATTCCCCCACGCGCACCACGTATCTCGAGTCCTCAACGCTTCCGTAAGTCCATGGCAGCTTTACTAGGATATTGTGCAGCTATGCTTAGTAAATAATAGGGCCAGTTTCACCTGGCAGTCCGCAGAAGAAACTAAAGGGCACAGACTCCCCACTGAAATACCTAGCATGTCGAGGGATTTGTTAGCCGAGTAATTTAAGGGTTTGAACAGGACAGTGCGTTGACTGCACGGAGTAAACCCCCACTGTCTGGGCTGGGCTCCGGAATTATCGGCAACTGGTACCTCGCTATATTACTGTCTATATTACTGAGGATGCAATTGAGTGAAACCATTGATAGAAGGCATCAGAATCAAATAGATGGACAATTCTACATATGTGATACAAAAGGTCAATTCTTACCTGTCCAAATCCCAGTATTACCTGCCTTCTCATAGAGCAAGTGTGACGTAGCGACAGAGCTAGGTCTAATACATATGGAGTCAGGTACTTGGCGAGTACGTACAACTCAAGTATCGTCTGTTTGCGGGGCCTACTGGTGATGTAGTGGTTTCATAGATCTACTGAAGTTGTAACTGTACGGCTCAGACACTGAAGAATCAAACTCTAGACATTGAGGCGAGAATGATTGACCACCAATGATCAAGACATTCATTCTGAATTGATCAGGAGGGGGGTGGATAAGCGCAGCCAGTCATGGGAGTAATAGACATGCATGTGCTGTGGTGAAGATCCCACGTGCCCTAATCATGGACGCTTATCGCCCGCCCCGTCTTGCTATGTACCAATGTTGTGATAGGGTTGCACCCTGTTGCCTTGACCTCCCAGAAGAACACACGCTGGTAACGCTGCAACCGGTTGGAAATCCGTAGATGTCGATCCTTGAGGGGTGTCTATCTCTGGAGTTCTTGAAACCTGGACGAGGTCTTTACCGGTGTGTTTTCAGTCGGACACGGAGTACATCTAGCTACATCTAGCGAAGTACATTAGTACATGGTACTCCGGTACAGTTGAATGATCTGATCATTGTTCAAGTTGGTGGGATGTGGGAAAACTCATCAGATCTGATTATTTTAATTGATTTTTACTCTGTAGTGCTATGACGCCAGTTGCTTTTAGATCTGTCAGGATAAGCCACAGTGAAGGTACAGTCAGAGAGGTAGATAGATAGATGTACTCCGTAAGTAATACAGTGTCCACAGTGGCTCCGGATCCTCCCGGCGCTGTTCTGACTTGGGGGAGGCCAGCTACTCCGGGAAGCTCTAGGCTGCTGGCCAATTACCAGGGCCACGCGCCTGTCTCGTTGGCATTGGGCCCGTTCTCGTCCATATGGATCTGTATGGATCAGTACTTCGTCTGGACTGTCTATTACCTTATGGAGACAGTCTGTATGGGGCAGTAACTATGGTACCCTGATGGGACCTCCGAAGTATGTAGACCAAGTCCAAGTACTTCACAGGATTTAACAACAGTAATAATCCCTCACCTCAAGTCCTCACTATCCAGGTCCATCTACATTCCAGCCTAGACTGCGATCGTCATTTCTCATGATTATCGACTTGCCGTAATCCTAATACAGCAAATACGCGAATATTCTCCCCCCGCGGACTCAACGCCGGCTGACGGACTACGGGCACGCTTCACTGCGCCTGCTGATATTATCGCAACTATTATTATACCCTATCCTCATACTTACTTTTTCCCCCCTCCTTCCTCCCCTCCTCCTCATCATATCTCTGTTCCTTCTACCATCCAGAAGCAAGTCGTCCAGGAAATCATCCTACTGCTAGCATCGCGCTTGTTGAGTCTTCTTTGTCTGAACGGTCGCGTGCTTTGATCTATCCAATATCCGCGCGTCTTATTCGCACCTCACTCGGCTCACACACTGTGCCTGCGTCTCCTGCTTGAACTGTCGTCTGCAAAGTATTACGTGAGTGATCATACCCATCTCAGTCTCTTTTTCCGATTCTTGGCTTCTTCTTTCGTGCCTGGTTTCTTTGTTCATCTATTTGCTAGTCACCAGTTTAGTCATTCCCGGTCCATTGTTCTGTTCCCCCTTGCGGCGTCTTATGGTTGGTGGACGGTCTACTGACTCATGTGATGACAGGTTTAGCCACCACAGAAGTACCATATCATTTTCTCTTCAGACCATTACTTCTCTCCACCATCATGGCTCCTAAAACAGCTACATCCAGCATCGCCATGGCGCTTGCTGGCAAGACGGCCTCTGTTGATATCCCCAAGCCCCGTTCCGGCTTTTCTTCTGGCAGACGTGAGTCTGTCCGTCCAGGACATCCCGCGATGTTGCCCACGCCTCCCAACTCCATCTCCCCGACTCTCCCTCCGCAGGGTTTTAAAAAACAAGATCTTCGCCGTCCCGTGTCTCCTCCGCTTGCCACTTCGCCGCATGTGGATTCGGATATCGACCTGGGCGACGCTGCAAATGACCCACCTCAGACCGCGCATGGCCTCGATAATGTGGGAGAAATCACCCCGAGCATGCTGGCAAAGTATCACTTGCCCGAGGTCATGCTCAACCAAGGTCCTCTGGCTATCCGTCATGTCATGGCATACCTGACCACTTCGGTGCCCGGGTTCTCCAGAATCCCTCCTGCCAAGGCGCGCAGACTCGTCGTGGCAGCCTTGGAGGGCCGAGGAAATGATGGAGGAGGCCTAAACGGCGATGTCATTTTCGAGAAAGTGGGTTGGGGCCGCTGGGATGCGCGACGCCGTGGCGAACCCTTGCGCACCCCCTCGCATCCAACCGCGTCGCCACCTGCCAGTTTCTCGAACTCGTTCACTCAGCGAGGTATAGCCATTCCGACCAGGCGAGAATCCCTATATGCCTATGGAAGCAGCATGACTGGTGATTCAGCCGTGTTCTCTTACACAGAAAGAGAACATGGCCATGGGGATCTCAGCATGCTGGAACACGAAGCAGACAAGATGTCTCTCGACGGAGACTACCGCGAGTATTGCTCGTCTTCGGAGGCTCCTGATGAAGAGATTCCAGATGAAGACTGGGGTGAGGAGGACGTCACCGACGAAGAGGACTGGGCGCAGATAGGAGCCGCAGCACTCCGCGCACGTTCATTGAACGGAGGAGGGTTCCTAAATGGCAACGGACCGTCACCTCTATTACGAGGCGGCGGACCTGCTCCATCCTCGTTGGCAAAATCCGCACCGCGGCATATTCCCATCCAACAGCTCGGCTTTTCCGTGCCTGACGGCATGGTTGGCAACAAGGAAGAACGGGCCGCGGTGGAAGCATTGTTAAGACTTGGATCTATGTGAACTTCGGCAATGGGGATCGGCGTTGGTGCGAATGGTTTATACTCGGGTTACATCTTTGACGACTCGACTTTTACTTTCTATGATTTCGGAGGCGGGACGATCTTCCCGAAGTGGACCTCTGACTTTTTACGATTTTTTATGACATGCTCTCGGAAAATTCAGGTCGCCAGATATTCAACACGGCACTCACGGTCTGGCTGGCTCGATCGAATGGTCTTTTAATTGCATTGGGGTCTGAAATTCACAGGGATCGGGTTCACGGAGTTCTGGGTATGGTGTTTTATGGTTGTTATTCCCTTTTAATACCAAGCTTGAGTGCATACATACTCAGCTTTCACCTTTGCATTTTGATACATCTGGGGTTTGCAGTCTATTTATCCCATACTGCTCCCATTTTCATTATTTGTGCATTTGCCTGGCGCAAGACGGATTCTCCGTTCTCCAGTTAATCTCTTTGGTCAGCTGTACATTCAGTTTGATGACTTTGCATGTCTGCATGTTCCTGGCGAACTACTCTCAGGCAGATTTCAGCAGTATATAACACTACATATACCATACTAGAAACAGAAATAACAAATGATTGCCTTTGGCACGATATATCCCAATTATGTGATCATACCTCTATCTGTAGTCCACTGTACCCTCTCGTCGAAAATATATCCTGCTTTTCTCGACCACTCAACTCGTCAATGTAACCGGAAATAACTCAAGACTGGCTTGATACAAATGCTTGATCTGATGTAAACCCAAGTCCTCAGCCAGCCCAAGAAAGACAACCCGCATATACAACCCTCGAGAACCACCTACCCATCCCATACCAATCCAACCACAAGATCCAAGGTACATATCAAGGCATAACGAATAAAACGCCACCCAGTCCTAGACCAATCTACTGAATAGACATGGTTCATCCCCCCATACCATCCCAATCCACAATATTTGCCCTAAAGAGACAGAAACAGGGACAACCAACCAACACAAATCAATAGATAAAGATAAATACGGAGAAGATACTAGCAGCAGCACATCTACCGATCATGGGCCTCATTAATCCGCCTCCACACCTCAGCCTCCACCTCCGCAAGCTTCGTCCCGGCACTCGCTATCCACGACTTGGCGTTTGCCAGGAACCCGGACTCGGACCCGCCTTCATGGGCGAAGTCAAACGCGTCGGTGCCATGGGCCTGGTTCTGGTAGAGGGGTAGTTGTGAGGATGAGGCGGGAGGTTGGTAGAGCGAGGCGTAGGGTGTGGACGTTGAGTTTGGGTGTGGCTGTGCGTGTGGGTGTTGTCGTGGATGGAATTGTTGGTCCTGGGATGGGTAAGTGAATCCGGAGGTGTACCCGCCGGCAGTGGGGTTGTAGCCGTAGCTAGGGATGGGGTTCGCTGGAGCTCCAGTTGTAGTTGCACCTGAGGCTGTAGCGGTTGGTGTCTGCTGAGGTTGAGCTTGAGCCTGGGGAGCAGGAGCAGGAGCAGGAGCAGGAGCTGAAGAAGCAGCCAAAGCTGGAGGTGCCGTCGGCGCTGGAATTCCTGGGTCAGGCCGAGCTCCAGGCTGAGGGGGAGGAGGCGAAGTGCTAGTTCTCGTGGCAGGGGTAGCTATCGTCTCGGTCGCTGTGGGTAGAGGAGATCCGTCACTGCCAGATGTCGCTGGTGCAGTCGGCGCAGGCATGGTTGTGATGCTTCCTGGTTGAGCCTGGGCAGTGGCGTAGATCGGAGAGTATGGAGGTGCTGTTGCGGTAGCTGACGCAGATACAGGTTCGGATGGAGCAGGTTCGTCCTGCTTCTTCGCTGACGATGTGGACGGCGCCGTCGCGTCATGAAGCGCGGTTGTAGTCATGTTGAGATCGGTATTTTGACCTTAAAGCCCAGCAATCTCAACGGTCGACAAGTTCCCCTGACTCAAGGGATAGCAGCAACGACCGACGTCATGGGATCCATCCACATCACGTGATTTACTACACGTGGTGTTTACGAGGAAAATTTTCACCTACAGAGGCAAGGTCAAGGAGGCAACCCCAAACAAACAAAAACCAGTTTTCGTACCAGAAAGAAGTACAGATTGAGGAAAAAGAAAAGCTTGCAGGCAGTAAAGTACAACGGGTACACGAGGAAATATCACACTGCTTTATGCTCAAGACTCCCGATACCCTTCTTGGAGCATATTTTCTATAGCCATCCACAGTAGCGTCCAGTTTCAGGCAGTTACGCCCGGAACTGACCAACCCCTTCCCCTATAAAGCCGCATCGGAGAAAACGATTCGAAGTTAATCAATCGTTTAGCCAGAGCCACCCTTGAACTTCTTGCCGAAGAGGATGAGCTGAACCTGGTCGTAGATGGACAGGACACCAGCACCAGCAACACCACGGAGGATGTTAGCACCAGCACCCTTGAAGAGAGACTTGACACCCTCCTTGGCGATGATCTGGCGAGCAGCATCCATGGAGGACTTGTACTTGACGGCCTCACCGGAGGTCATCATCATACGACGACGGATGGTGTCAAGAGGGTAAGAAGCAATACCAGCACCAGTGGTGACAGTCCAGCCGAGCAGGAAGGAAGCAAGGAAGCTACCCTCAAGAGAACCAACCAGGACAACAGGCTTGATGGAGTCGTACATGCCGAAGTACAGACCACGGTAGACAACAATACCAAGAACGGAGGGACCGAAACCACGGTAGAGACCGGCAATACCGTCGGAAGCGAGGGTCTTACGATAGACATCAACGAGACCGTTGAACTGACGCTCACCACCACCCTTGGCGGACTTGGCGTCGTTGGCGAGACGGGTACGAGCGTAGTCGAGAGAGTAGACGAAGAGGAGGGAAGTGGCACCAGCAGCCTGAATAGCTTGTTAGCTCGCAAGTCGTTTCTGCAGGAGGCATGCTGAGGATATACGTACACCACCGGAGGCAAGGTTACCCATCATCCACTTCCAGTATCCATCACGCTCCTTCTTGTAGGCGAACATCGACTTGTAGGTGTCACGGAAAGCGAAGTTCAGAGCCTGGGTAGGGAAGTAACGGATGACGTTGGCAGTGTTACCACGCCACAGGGACATGACACCCTCAGCCTGGGCGGTACGACGGAAGCAGTCGACGATACCGTTGTACTTGCGGTCGAGACGGCCAGCACGGATCATCTCATCCTGTAGTGAATGGCATTAGTCGCGTTCCAGTTGAGCACATTGTTTGTTGGCCAGATTCATAGAATGACAGGTTTTGCGACCATCCGATTGTCCCAATCATGGCGACAGAAACATCGTACGTTATCGCAAAACTTCGCCCCGTTCGAATTGTTTTCTCACAGAGCGGCAGCCATTCTAACTGCTGGTTCGGGAGCGAAGATGAGTAACCAACCTGGTTCTGGACAAGGAGCTTGATACGCTCGATGGGGGCAGCAGCAGTCTTGGAGACGGCAGCGGAAACACCACCCACTGCGAAATGGTCAGTAAAAGCTCGATAGAATGATTCTGTTGTCGCAATTTGATGATTGCCGAAGATTGAACAATCATCGGGAATGATTTAGATGGCACATACTCAGGAAGTCGACGACGAAGCCCTGCGGTGAAAATTCTGTCAGCGAGTCGTTCCCCGAGCTTCCAGGGCAAAACCGTGTCGAAAACATCAAATCGAGTTCCTAAGGATGATTGCAATGATCCTCCATCTCATCGAGCTCAATTCCCCATCATTGCCATCATTCCTGGACCTCGATCCGATGCCGACCGGTTGTTGCCCAAAACAGGACTGCAATAACAACTTACGGGCATGCCGAAGACGGACTTCTCGGCCTGGTTAACGTCACCCTTGGCCATTTTGACGGCTGTAAAGGACGAAAACTAAGAAAGAGATGAAGAGAGGAGATGGGGTTGAGTGTCAAGAAAGGACAGGACACTTCAAAGAGGATGGAAGGAGAAAAAAGAGGAAGGGAACGGGAAGGGGAAGGGAGGAAAGAAAAATAGCGAGCGAAGGGCTCTTGTAAGCGGGAGGAAGCGAGTGGAGCCGCTAGGACGCTCTAGGAAAAATCTGGTTTGCTGGCCTCAAGCGTAAAAAAATTTCGCAGCAATTTTTTTCCTTTTGCCAGCGGACAAACGGCCAGCGAAAGGGAAAAAGAAGGGGAAAAATGGCAGAAAAAGAAAATTCGGAACCGGCGCTAGCGACGGCCCAGGCAACGAGAGCCGATAATTCCCGATCGACCAGAGCAATTGTAATAACAATAAAACATGATGCATAACACACTGTCACTTGGTCTTGACGATTTTTCTGCACAGATTCTTATAACAATGCTCTTCTTGGGACAGGCTTGACCAATAATCTATAACTAACTAATAGGAGGACAAATGCGTTTGGTTGATGATAGGCGTCTTCCATGTACATTATTCTTCACTGTTTCCCCGTCACTAAGCCAGCCGTAACCCGGAGAGCCTCCGCCCAGTAGCCCACACCCAGCATGTTCACGGGGAACGTATCTCAAGGATTTCTATTCTTGGTCTTGTCCCGAGTCTCCGATGGCAAAAATTTTTCCTCGTTAGCCACCCGTCAGTAGTAGTCTTGTAGATTCGTAATGCGGATAGAAGGTATGGTCAACTTTTTCAGTCCGGATACCCCAGTAAATTTCTTTGGTAGGTAGACACCCCATAATCTAGTGTTTGTCAAGCCGGTCATATGCGTCGATGCGTTTCGGCCCTCAGTGCCGCGGATGTTCGAAGACATACGGAGTAGATACTATCTATCTACAACATCTTTCCTAGAGTGGATAGTTATCTTCACGCAATGTCAAATTGCGTACACTGCGATTGAGCTTGGCGGACTCTCTCAAGAAGCATTGTCAGAATGCCCTCTATAAATACAATTCTTATCAATGAGATCGATCCCATTCGTCTGAAGAAACTGCTCCGTTTCTCGCATACCTGGACTTTCGACAGGAGAGTCGGTGTATCTAAATGACCCTACTGTGTATATGACCGGTTCGGTAGAATCCACTCCGTTTCGGGAGGTCAAAGCTGCCTGACTAGTCTATCATTTCCCGCCGAAGATTGATATATGGATTGGATGGCCATGGTTCAGTAGATAGATAGGTAGTATCGAGCGCAAGCTCCTTTTTGGAAATATTAATGTCACTTTGTGCAATACCTTCTCAGTAAGGTAAGTTCAGAGTCCTAAGGTCATTCGCGCATCACTCTTTCCAGCCACCTTAGGCTGCTTCCTAGTTGCCCTTGAAGAGAGTGGAAAGACCCACACAACATGGGGCAATCTTTTACCATATATCTATCAGGCTGAGAACATCCTTACTATGATCGATGTTTAACTGTACTCCATATGTGACTTCAATTTTCTCCAGTGGTAATTCCTCTGATATGTAATGATATCTCCCTGAATTTTCCTCGTACTGCGCCAGTCAAACCAGGTTGTATGAAGGGCCTCAGTATAATATTTACGACACAGGTGTAGTATCGAGGTCGCCTCACCTCGAGACTCGAGTACTCAAGGCCAGTAACAACATCGATATGTAGCAAGATCCAAATCATCCAGACTAGTTGAAGATGCCACCGTTGTGAAACTTCCATTGAGACCGGTTGAAAGATCGATACATGATATGATTTCATTATGAACAAGCCATTTCCGGCAACTGCAAGTGGTATTATAAGACAAACATCAGGTCTAACAAAAGCCAGAGATCAATGCTTCTTGGACCTCTTTCTCTTCTTCCTCCTAGGCTCCCCTTCCCGAATATCGACTTTGTCTCCATCGTCTGCTTGCTCCGCATTACCCGCAGGCTTTTCACCGCCGAAGCTGAAGACAGGACCATCCTCATTGCCAAAGGTCTCCTTGCGCCATTGCCTCAGACGAGCCTTCTTGCCGAGATTCTTCTGGTCCTTGCGCTTCTTCTCGGGGTCACGGAAGGAAGCAAGCTTCTTCAGACCCGCAAACTGATTCAGCTGCGCATCATCAGCCATAAGAATGTCCCGTGCAGTCAAACCGAAGCTTTGAGGTGAGGTTTCGCGGTAGCGGAAGCGAGTCGTGTTCTTCTTGGTGGCGCCAGGTAGAAGAGCAATGTCGAGGTCCAGGTTGCGATCGACTGCCTCCTCGATGCGGAGCCGGTCCTTGCGGGCTTCCCGCTTCTGATCCCGCCTCTCTTGAGCTTTACTCTTCTTGTTCGTGTCTTCGGCATCATCCTCCATCTCGATATCAGAATCCTCCAATGCCGGCTTGGGTTCCTCTTCATCAAAATCAGGCACCAGATCTTTGATATCAATATCATCATCCCATGTAGGTTTCTTTGGACGCTTCTTCTTGCCCTTGCTCTCGCCATCACTACCAGCGGCATCTTCATCGGCGTAGTAGTCCTCGCCAAACCGTTTCTGCATTTCCTTCTCCCACTTATCATCGTCCCAAGCATCGTCCAGAAAGTGTGCCCAGTCGTCATCGGTGAATTTAGATGCGCGGAAGCCAGCGACTTCCTTGATCTTATTGACCTTCTCCTGAAGTTCTTCCATCTTCAATTTGCGAAGACGGCTCTTCTCAGCTTCCCGCTGCTTTTTCTCTTCCTCCTTTCGCATGCGCTCAGCCTCACGCAGCTTCTTTCTGGCGCTCTTTTCCTCTCTCCGAACAGACTGTTGGTTGGTCTTATCACGAGCGTGGGTCAACAGGGTCGCGTTCAGCTTGTTAGGGTCTTCAAAGCGGAAGTTGTATGCCTCCTCAAAGGCTTCTGCCCGCTCCTCCTCCTCGTCGTCGTCAGACTCGAAAGGCTGCAGCTCGGATCTACCAGCTGGGATCCATGCCCTGGAAGACAAAAAGTTTGAAAGGAAGGTCTCAGGGTCCTTGTCCGCATTCTCAACGTCCAGCTTGATTTCCTCCTTGGGTTCCGAGGCTGATTTGGTAGTCGATTTCCGGATTAGGAATCCCCCGTCCTCGTCCTTATCCTCGTCAACGCCCGGTTGATCAGCGGTGGCGTGCATCTCTTTGACGATAGCATTTTTCAATTCCTCTTGCTCCTGAGCGTAGGTCTTCGGAGCATCGGAGGTATCGTCCTCTTCCAGATTGGCACCGCTAAGGAGATTTTGCCGATGGTAATCTCGAAGCGTCATGGGCTTTTGCTTTTCCTCTGTATTTCCCGTGTTTGAGTTTTCTTCTTCTTCGAGGGCCGTGTAGAATTTGGCGTCCTTGTCGTAGACGCGAGGATCTTTTGATCGAATCGCGTTCAGTGTCGCCATAATTTCTGCATCAACGGCCGGCGTTACCAATTCCCCATCCTCATCTTCTTCTTCATCTGATGACGACTCTTCCGAACCGTCGGAGTCATCTTCGTCACGATCACGGCGTTTCCCAAGCGCTGAAGTCTTTCCTAATTTTGATTCCACTATAACAAAAATCAGACTTGTACCATCGAAGAAGCCGTTATTTCAAGTGATTTCGACTTACGCTTCTGCAACTCTTCCCGTTTCTTATTGTGTTCAAAACGACGAGCATAATCTTCGTTGATCTTGAATGCAGGCTCCGACTGATTGGAGATGGGAACTCCGCCAGATTCGTCTCCCGAATCGCTGGAGCTGTCATCGTCAAGAAGCTTGCGTGGTTTCTTGGCTGGAGGCTCCATCTTCGCCCAATTCAAATAGGGAAAAAAAAGAAAGGGAGGAGGACGCAAATGTTCTGAGAGCCGCCGATTCAGCAGAATTGTGCAACACTCTTCAATTGGAAAAAGTTGGAGTCGCTGGCAGAAAAAGAAAAAATATTCATCCGACGCTCACCGCCTGCGATCCGCCTTGCGCTGCCTCAGAACGCAGGCCACAACAACGGAGCACTGACGTAGCCAATTAGATCATGGATGGGGCTGTTGACCCCAGATGGCTTGAAGTGAGAGTTCCAAAGCTCTCCTCTCGACATGACTGTTACTTTTGCTCACGTGTGTATTTACCCCGTATGAATGGCCCCCTAAGCCGTTGTTTTCTCTATTTGGGGTCGTTCTTTTCGATCTATCACACTATTACCCCTATCTGTATCGAATGTATGGCCGGGGATATTCGCTAGATGTCGACTCAGCCGCAGAACGCATTGTCCCGAGTTGGGAAGCTTATTAGTGTGGTGTAAGTGCGGAAGAGAGATCCTCATCGTAATGCTAACCTGATTGCGTCGATACAGGCCCGTTGGATTGAAAGAGGCTGCTCTCGATTCCCCGACTTTCCGGGCCACCACACTTCATTTCTCTGAGCAAATCGAATACCTCGAAAGATGGCTGGATGGCTATGCAAAGGCTGCTTCCAAGCTCGTCACGGAGCTTGCGACCATGGAAAATGTGATGAATAGCTTTCTGGCGTATTCTTCGAACCCTCCTATCGTCTCCGAAGCTGTCCTCGACCATGATTACACCTTACAGGCCATGAGCAGGTGTGGTGAGAGCTCGAAAGATCTGTGGAATGGTTTAATGGCCACTGCGAAGAAAATGGAATCGCTTATATCAGAGCCTATAAGAGTCTTCATCCATGATGATTTACGGAGCTTTAAGGTAAACTGAGTGCCCCTCGGCCCCTTTTCAAAGCATGAGAGGAGCGCCATCTTACCCCGCTACAGGAGACTCGTCGCACCCTCGAACAAGCGCAAAAGCAGTACGATTACCTTCTATCTAGATATGCTTCGCAGTCCAAATCAAAAGAACCTTCATCCCTGAGAGAAGATGCTTTCCAGCTTCACGAAGCCCGCAAAGCCTACCTGAAAGCGTCAATGGATTTTTCAGTGCAAGCACCACAAATACGAAACTCGCTCGATCGACTGTTGGTCCGAGTTTCCTTCGACCAGTGGAGGGAATTTAAGGCCCTCCATAATGACAATGGTGCATCGTTTGCCAAATGGGGCCAAGAGATGGATCGCATAAAAGGTTGGATCCATGAAATGGAGGGCAGCGAGAAGTTCTCAAAGCGTGAGCTCGTTTCCGCCAGAAAGCATATTGAAGACGCTGCAGAGCTGGCTGCCAGGCCGTCTCGAGAGCTGGAAGACTACTCAGTATCCACCGTTCCATATCTAGGGTCTCGCCCTCTGTCGGACCTGAACATGCCCAAGGAAGCACGGCCCGAGAAGCAAGGCTGGGTTTATCTGCGAACATTGTCAGGCAAACCAACACGTACTGTTTGGGTGAGACGTTGGGCCTTTTTGAAGAACGGAATCTTTGGTTGCCTCGTGCAGGGTTCTCGAACTGGCGGAGTTGAAGAAAGTGAGCGTATAGGCGTGCTATTGTGCAGTATACGGCCTGCTTTCCAGGAGGAACGAAGGTTCTGCTTCGAAGTGAAGACCAAGAGCAACACCATAGTATTGCAGGCCGAGACTCAGAAAGAGCTCACGGAATGGATTGCTGCTTTTGAGGCAGCTAAACGAAAAGCACTGGAAAACCCGACAAGCACCGACATCTCGGTTTCCGGAAAGGTTACTGTGCAAGATCCAGCCTTTGCAATCTCTCAGCCTCCAGCACCTGAATTTGCTGCTGATCCGGCCGACTCGCTCACGCCGCACGCAAATGATGAGCATGGACCGTCGGATCGTAGCGGAGGGTTATCTGTTCCAGAGCGGGACGCATCAGCCTTCCGAAACAGCAGCGATCTCGGCAGCCCCCGGCGCATGACAGGATTGGATTCCGAGAGTTCTGCGCGAGAACATACTTCCAGACTCATCCAGAAATTGGATCTTCACCGCAAGTCCAACAATAATGCCGTCCCACCATCTATATCTCTACCCGGTGCAGGTGGTGGTATCGCAGGCCTGATCTCCGCCAGCCATAACGCGTTAGGGCACAGCAACGGTCTATCCGTGGGCGGGACTGATGCTGAAGGGAACAGAAGTCGCAGTTTGACGAACCGGAGCCTTCCTCCTACCACACTCGCGCCTTCCACCTTGGCGAATCCACCCGCCCCTACCAGTATGAGCAAGGCGGCTGTAATCGTCAGCAATGAACGAGGTATTGGTTTGGGGCAAGCCGACAAGACAGGTGGGATGCCTAGCGGTATGATGGCCAACCTGTGGGGTAGTTCCAACTGGGGCTTCATGAACAGACTCGAACGCGAACGTGATGCTCAGCTTGCAGGGGCCGGCCAGGAAGCTTCTGTCGGACAACAACCATCAACTCCGGCAACTGATTCGTCAAAGCCACCGCAATCATCTGATGTAGATTTGACCAACGGCACCTCAGCACCCAAGCAGCAGATGTCTGGGCCTCGCCATAGGCAAACCGTTAGTCTTGACGGCGATGCGTCCAAGGTGCAGAGGGCAATTCTGGGTATTTCGCATGAGTATCCCAGTTACTACCCCGAGCAACTTCGGCCTCAGGATGCACAATTTCGCCTGCTCTTTCCCGACGTCAAAAGAGAGGAGCCTTTGGTCATGGTCTTCCGAGCCACATGGAATCCCAACGATCAGCAAGAATTTCCTGGAAGAGCATACGTTACGACTCGCAGCATATATTTTTACAGTCATTATTTTGGATTAGTTTTAACCACAGATGTCCCGCTGGAAAGCATCAAGGAAGTGACTGCTGCACCTGGCAGAGACTGCGATTTCTTATTTCTCCATACTATCCCGCCTCTTGGTGAGGATACTCCGGGACGAATCACGGTGAAAACTTTCCTTGAGCCCCTAAGACTTCTTCAAAGACGCCTGAATTTCTTGATTCAAGATTCAACCGCCGTGGAGCCCATGGGGTTGGAAGCAATTTTCAAGGCTCTGATCAAGATGGAGACCGACACGAGGAACCGTAGCCCTAGCCTGAACAGCTGGGAAGATGCGGCCGTTTCGGATGACAAGAACGGTATTGAAGACGACAACATTGCTGCCGGACAGCAAAAAGATATCCGCCGACCGATTTACATTGATTATGACTTGGATCCGCATTCAAAGTATGGCAAGCACGGCAAAAATGCGCCAAAGTTCCGCTTGCCAACTCAACCTGTTCAATATGTTCCCCAAGGCAACCTCCACCTTGCTGCAGAGAAGATATTCGATATTAGTCCGAAGGCGATATTCCATATCCTTTTCGGTGACAAGAGTGCTGTTTGGCAACTCCTTTTGCACGAAAGAAGATCGCGAGGTTCGTCCCCCCAGATGACCGGGGTGACCTTTGGCTGACCGATATGAAAGATATTAAACAGGGGCCCTGGATCAGAAACGAATCTCGCCATTTGCGACGTGACTTTGAATATCATATCGAGACAACTGACTTGCTTGGTACGTATTTCTACTCATCATCGTCTAGCAAAATGACTGACGATCCCCTTCATGTAGGGCGCACTCAGGACAAGATGATTTCCGATTACCAGATCATTGATGTTCTCAATGATCACTTGTGCTACGTAGTGACTGACAAGCGGACTCCGTGGCACCTTCCTTTTAAGCGCTCGTTCAGGTTGGTGAGCAAGATTGTGATTACATTCGTCGCGAAGGGGAAAAGCAAGCTTGCTGTATACACGAAAGTGGAGTGGCTCGGGTCTCCTCATGGCCTCCAGAGTAAGTAGTTTATTAGCACGCGCGAGACTATTTGTCCTGCACAATCACTAAGTTATTTCCCAGGAATCATCGAGAAGCAAGCAACAGGTGACTTAGAGCAAGACGCGCTGGACCTCGTTGATCTTGTCAGCGATCAGGTGCGAAAATTGGGCTTCCACAGCCGAACAAAAAAAGCCATCACCATTTTCGGTCACATCGGACGCCAACAACTTACATCTCAGTTTTCGTCCAGCGAATCAGTTCTGAAACTTGAACCTCGAAAGCCTCGGCGTCAGAGGACCTTAACCCAACTGTTATTCGAGATGCTTCTTTCCTTCCTGGAGAGCGCCGTTTCGTCCATAATCATGTGGACTTTTGCCTTCCTTCGCTGGACCTGGAAAACCACGAATGCAAACATGGTCATTCTAGCCCTGCTGATCTCCAGCGCTTTAATGAACGGACTCTTCACTTCTCGGTACACTTATGACTGGTGGCATGAGAGGAATGTGGGAAACTTCATGGCTCGCCTTGGGGTCGGTCCCAACCATGTGATGAGCAAAGCCATCTATATGAGGGATATCGACGAGGTCATTGCTAATGCCACTGTCGGCCAGTCTAGCAACAACATGAGTAGATGTTTCTCTACGTTCTACCAGCAGACAGTGAGCGACCAGGGAACAGTCCTTTCCTTTGGCGCTTCCGGCCCTCGAGACTCAGTGACGCGGAGCGCAGCCAGACGGATCCATCAAACCCGCGAGCGACTCGCTATGTATAGACACAACTTGTTAGTGGCGCTCCGGGTAGTAAACAGCATTGAAAGAGAGGTCATCCAAGGCGAGTGGGAACGATGGCTCCGGCAGGAACTGAGACGCTGTCACCAAGTGGAGAAACTTCTTGGAAAGAACAAGGAGGATGACGGAGTCAATATGCAGGTTGACCAAGCAAGTCAAACTGTTTTTGCCGATCTCGCGGGTGACGTTCAGCAGTGGTACGATAAATACTGTACCAGTTGCCAGATGGAACAGGAGCAGCTTGAGAGGAGCGGTGTTGTATATGGTATTTAAAAGGTACATAGGGGTCGCTTGTGCGTTTTGTTTACTCCGGACGGATCGATACGTTTTGAACGATACCCCATTGGCAATTGACCGGATGTTCGCGGTTATCTTTGTCTTATTGACTTGATCGAGTGGGTGATTTCTGGTATATGTTTGTAGTCCAGCTCTCTGCTAGTATATAGCTCTGATGTTTGAGCTTCAAGCGAATTCGAATGGTTTGTCAGTGTGCTGCTGGCTTGCAGGATAAATTTCAAGCGTAGCCATGGATATGGTCGGTACCAGCCAGATCCCATATACCTGACCTTTCTTGACAGAGTTGTACCGTCGTCATAACCTCCTTTAATTCTGTCTCGGCTTCACAGCACCCTCCTGGACGACATAGTACACCACGGTACCATCACCACCCATGCTTCGATCGACCATGGCCAAGAGAAGTCTCTTCCCACCCCACTCTTTCGTGACCCGAGCTTTTCGCCTGTACTCATAGTACTCTGTCAACTTCGCCGCCTTCTCAGCATTATTACCAGATTCTGTGGCATCATCTAATGACTGAGCATGCGACTCTTCCTCGTCCTCGGGAAGCGCATCGAACACGGCAGCCATTTTGCGCAGACTCCATGATTGACCGTGAGCGGTGGGGACAACGAACAGTCGTTCCAGCTCGATGTCGTCTTCGCGAAGACCCCTCTCGAGCATGAACAGCTGCTCGTCTGGATGCGTATAGATTCTGTGGGGCGGGATGCCGGAGATCAGACAGGAGGGTGAGCTGGAAAGTTGGTCTGTAGATGTTGAGGTGGACGACGATGCGACGGAGAAATTGGGTGCCTGCAAGTCATGGATTTGTAGAGAGGTCCAAAGATGCTGATGCTGAAGGTTGTGGAGGACTTGGACCGCAGTTGCGGAGTGAGGGTCCGAGGAGGCAGAGGTGGAGGTTAGGAGGGTGGTGAGGGCCGAGGGCTTTGGAGCCTGGGGTGTTGATGTGAGTGTAGTTGGCATAGTGAGTCGCTGGAAGCTTTCTTGTGTGGGCGTTGTAGCAGAGACTGGCGGTTCTAATTCTAGATAACGACTCTTATCAGTCTGAGGTTTGGAAGGTTTAGATAGCCACAGTATTCCATGGAGATGGACAACTGATGGTCATTGCTTACTCTCAACACCGTATCTATCCTCTTAGATACAATATGGTCATACCTCAATGATACTCGATGTAAAAAGTGATCATTATCGCTTTATCTGCGGGGCCGGAGAATAGGCAATGGTCTTGCCGGCGGAGAGGGAAAAATTTAGGGCGATCGCGCCGAAATTCCGCGCAGCGCGTTTTTGGCAAAAGAAGAACAGAACACATGGCATCAACGGCCTGTGTTTCGTAATGAGAGTGTGATCTTTCCTGTGATATGCCTTTTTCATTTTTGGTCCATCCACCCCTTTTATGCCTTCTTGTCTTATTCCAGGTTTCAGGCGGAGGTGTTACTGGTCTTAACCTATCTCTCGCATGAATCATTGTCTTTCATCCATCTTCCTATTCCGTCATTCTGTACACATCTCCAAATTGCGCTCATGGCACGCCAAAAACAGGCAGTGCCTTTACAACGGGCCACTTCTTCTGAATTGATGCACCTTGTGCCTGAAGAATCCGAGTCAATGTCTCCGCAACAGAATAGCAGCGCTCAGAAGCCTGTCACCCTGAATGGATCTGCCTCGACAAAAAGACATGCGCCTGAAGCTCCCCTGGAGACTCCGGGATTGATGCAACTTGCGATTTGTGTTCTGGGCATTTATGCGTCATTGTAAGTGACTTATCTCCAGCGCGTGATCATCCTTTCTATACACAGTGTCTAATGCTTTTGAAGTCTGTCATGGGGTGTCCTTCAGGAGGCGATTACCACTGTCAATTTCCCAGTCCGTCCTCCAACTGCTGAAGAACCAAACCCGCCGACGGAGCGCTTCACCTTTTCGATCGTTCTCAACACCATACAATCCACCTTTGCTGCGATCACCGGTTTTCTCTACCTCTATTTCTCTACTCCGGCGGGCAAGAAGGTCCCCTCCATTTTCCCGACTCGCAAGATTCTTTTCCCTTTGCTCCTGGTCAGCATCTCCTCGTCGCTGGCGTCACCTTTTGGATATGCCAGTCTTGCGCACATCGACTATTTGACATTTATTCTGGCCAAGTCATGCAAGCTTCTGCCTGTGATGTTCCTCCATTTGACTATCTTCCGCAAGAGTTATCCTTTGTATAAGTACGGCGTTGTCTTGCTGGTTACCCTTGGAGTCGCAACTTTCACCCTCCACCACCCTGGAACCAGCAAGAAGGTCGCCGCGTCGGCAGCGAAGAACCAGTCCGGCTCATCTCTGTATGGAATCTTCCTGCTTTCCATCAACCTCCTTCTGGACGGCCTCACGAACACAACCCAAGACCATGTCTTTAGCTCACCGCAAATTTACACGCGCTTCACCGGACCGCAGATGATGGTAGCGCAGAACGTCCTTTCGACGGCCCTGACCACCACATACCTGCTTGTCATGCCCCATCTGTCCTCTACGGGCGTCTTGCATGCTCTCCTTCCCATCCCCATTCCACCCTCTACCGAGACCGAGCTTGCATCCGCCATTTCCTTCCTCTCTCGACACCCAGAGGTGATGAAGAACGTGCTCGGCTTTGCCGCCTGCGGAGCCATCGGCCAGCTTTTTATTTTCCATACGCTTTCTCGCTTCTCGTCTTTGCTTCTGGTGACTGTGACCGTTACGCGCAAGATGCTCACCATGCTGTTGAGCGTATTCTGGTTTGGACACTCATTGTCCGCAGGCCAGTGGCTCGGCATCGGCCTTGTATTCGGCGGCATCGGAGCTGAAGCCGCGGTGCAGAAGCGGGAGAAGCAAGCCAAAGAACGGGCGAAGGCACTAGCTGGAAAGAAGGAGTAGAATGTTTGATCTGTTCGACATTATTGTACATATATACACACATAGTAGATCTACATTCCATTATAGAGACTTGTTTTTATTACTGCTGTGCAGGATTCTGCATTCCATCCTTGATGAGACATCTCGAGGTATTGATATGAAATCGCTCAACTGCTGAAGGTAAATTGGCCATAGGAGACGAGGCTACTTCCTCCCTTCAACCATGATGATATGGTACCCGAACCCGGTCTTCACCTCCACATACTTCGGGCTCGCCGTCGTACTGGGCTCCAGCTCATACGCAGCCTTCTCAAAGTCCGCGTTGAGACTGCCTCGGACTTTCCACCCAAGAGAGCCGCCTACAGTCATCAGCACTAAGCCAGCTTTCGCTTCTTCTCTCCTCGTCTAAACGAGGAAAGCGAACCAAAACGGGAAACGCACCTTGCCGAGCCTTATCCTCCGAGTACTCCCTCGCGACATCGTCGAATTTGGCACCGTTGCGCAATTTCTCCAGCGCCTCTTCCTTCTTCGAGAATTTCTCGCACTACATTTGCGAGCATTAGTCTAGAAGTAGCAGTAGCCGGTGATTATACATGAAATTAGGGTTGTAGCGAACTGCAATTTGTGTGAAGCAATATTCCAGAGAAAGATTTTACGTACAAGAATATGTCTGACATTAATCGACGTAGCGGGCTTCAACCCCTTTCCTCCTCCCTTCCCCTTGTCCCCATCGGATGCATCTTTCCCCTTGCCTTTCTTGTCGCCTCCTTTGGCGTTGTTCTTGGGGGCCATCCTGGATGTCGATGCCTTAGACCGCCGCTAATGGGACGTCGATCGAACAGAAAACTTAGATCAGAGTTTGGGAATCGATCTAGCAGGAACAGAAGTTCTTTGAAGGTTGAACTTAGCTAGAGGCTGTAGCTAAAAGCATCTTTAGGGTTTGCGCCGAGAATCCGACTTGATTCTCAGGTCAAGACTGATGCCATGGCCAGAGTTAGAGGGTGGGGTTTGGTGGGGTCCGGCTAGCAGCCTGAGGCAGAAGGCTGACAGCTATTCGGTTTAATGTACCAGGCGCGAACCGTTGAATGACGACATTCGACTCACTGTTTCTCGTTTGCACTATTTGATCTGAAAGACTGAGGTATGCTGGTGAGCTCCACTCTTTCTACTTCGAAACTGGGCTGTATAGCTCTACAGTATCACTGATCAGACCTCCTGTTTTTATTATGGCTTGTCACTGAAGGGCGGTCATGGGTTCCAATGAGACTGATGTTGGTGTTATCTTCAGGTATTAATCGGTTGAGAGGCTGCAATGGAATCCAGTCTGGAAGCAGCCCGGATCAAGTCCTTGCCTGATGACGCATTCTACATTGCTGACTTTATCACCGAGGAAGAGGAGGAGTTGCTGCTGCAGAAGGTATGTTTTGCTATCACAAGTGTGTAGCTACCGTAGGTGTCGCTCTGGCCTATGTAGCGCTGGCAAAGAGATGGTGATGATCCATCAATCGCTCATGCTTACCAACTGCACGCCCATATCCTGCATGAGACAGCGCTAACATTCCAAGATAACCACTGCCCCTCTCCCCCGGTGGACTCAGCTCTCCCACCGACGTCTTCAAACATGGCCCTCTGCTTTGACCACCACAAATACTCTAATCGCATCGCCGCTGCCCTCATGGCTCGTCTCACCTATCATCCACCCTCGCTTGAACTCACTTGGCATATTCGCAGGCGCGCCTCACGGCGCTCCAAACCATGTCCTGGTGAACGAATACTGTCCCGGCCAAGGAATCATGCCGCATGAGGACGGAGCCGCGTACTATCCCCTGGTTGCGACCGTGAGCCTGGGAGCACCGATTGTACTAGACCTGTATCCAAAGCCCGGTTTGAGCAACGATGGAAACCACAATTTGGTGGGTGGCGCTCGGCAGCCCCAGTATCGAATATTGCAGGAGAGGCGCAGTCTTCTGGTTACGAGGCGAAGTATCTACACAGATTTCTTGCACGGCATTGCAGAGACCCGCAAGGACGATAACTTAAGTGCTGACACCATCTGCAATTGGGATCTGCTGCGTGAACCTGATCGTTATCAGTGTGGTTGGTATGAGAGGGAGACTCGGATCAGTCTGACATGTCGGGACGTACTCAAGGTGTCAAAGTTGGGAAATACGATGAAATTCCTAGGCGCACGATGACCTTGCAGACGGAAACTCTAGTGTCTTCTGATCCCGGTGTCAACTCCAGCGAATAAGCTAAATTTGCTTAGAAGAGTCCAGGAATCATGTTCCATCTTTCCTTGACAGCGTCCGGTCCGAACTTCTGCTCATACCATCGCTTGCTGATTGCGGCGGTTACACCCAAATTCACCGTTACAAACGCGAAACATGACAAAAGTGTCTTGTTCACCATCTCGCCATCAGGCGCAGCCAACAGAGCCAGCGACAGGTATATCACGCACTCGGCCGTGTAATGGGGACATACGATTCTCCGAAACATAGGGTGAGTCGGGAGGGTATACTTCTTAAGCGAGAAGAGGTAGTGGTGACAATCGTGCTGAATACCGGAGGCGATCAAAAATAATGGAACGCAAAGGAATGTGCGAAGGGTAGGAGCGGTGGTTACTTGAACGTCGTCGAGAGTCAACTTGTGGGTCGTGAGAGTTCCTAGGAGGGTGAGGATTGTTAGAGCGTAATCTCTTGGATCTAGTTCCCAGATGCATACCTGTTCCCTCAATCCAAACGGCGACCGTTGCAGTGAGGTAAAAGGCGAGTCCGAGAAGCCAATGGACAAACCACATCCTGGATGAGGATGGCTTGGAAAAGATGCGGCTCTCATGCAGTCGCCGACTTCCTTGCACTAACATTAATGCCCAGCATAGTAAGATTTGATGTATGGACATCGACTTCTGCAAGTGTTGTGGGCCTATCCTTGTCGCGATGGCCTGAAACGCAGAACCTCTGAATAACAACTGGAACGCCCAAAAGAGCGAAGAAAGCACAGAGGCAACATAAAAGTGCGTGAAGTAGCTGTGAGGGACTCTCAACGAGGCAAGGCAATCGAGTGCGATGTATACGCGAGATGTGTCCGGGGAATCGGCCCGCGCAAGGGGTCTCGACCCGACCGTTGTTGAAGTTGCACGAGCACCATAAGTCACGAAACGGGCGCGAAGTGTGTCTGGCACGCTGATCGACAGTACCTGGTAGTTATTGCTATGGTTTAGTCCATCATCGAAGAGTCTCGCCTAGACTGATGCATCACTGCCAAAAGTAACCATCGTCCCCTCACACTCGAGATATTCGTACCGTGCAGGCTGCAAAGATAAAGAAGGCTCGAAGAGCGTCGACAACGTCCATGTGCATGACAGAAAACGTCGTCTCCACAATCTTCCTGATAAGCTCCATCTTGGTACGGTTGACCAGGCGTAGCCGTTGCCGACGTTGGAAGCTGCAGAGAGCCTGGAAATGCGCAAGAAGGGGTAAGGCAGAAATCCAGGGACGGCTGCTTTCAATTAGTTCGGAGAGTGTTGTAAAGGCCCTGTGATAATGGTTGCCATGATTCCGTTTCACTGTCACCAATCGCCATGAGATTTGAAACCCCACCCAGGGCGCAGCTACACTTTAGGTAGTTACGAGGCAGATTGAACCTGGGTTTTGATTGCCTTGGAGGTCCGCCAGCTATGAGAGCTAGGTCATACAGTGGCAGAGACTTGATGAAGGGTTTCTACTACGGTGGCCTACTTGAAAAGTCTAGACAAATCCTTCAACTCAATCTAATCGTAAGAACAGCACATGCCAGCATGTCTACCTATCGACGACGAGAGATGACACCTTCATCACTCAGAGTTTGAGAACCAAGACACCTTTCGTCAGACTTTGCCTCCCTCTCCGCCTCTCGCCATTTGCAGCAAGTTGCAACTTCGCAAACCAGTAACGGCTAGCGGAAGGGGCAAAGTGGGGCGATAAGCTGAGCTATGCTGTCAGATGATTGGCTAAGCAAGAGCAGATCACTTGTCTTTAAGTGGGCCTAATCAGACTCGTTGAGTTAATCCTGCTGCTACTAAGCCGGAAACAGTAAAGGTTCAGTTGCCATCTCGTCAGTCATTGGCGTGATGCAGGGCCTAATTTACGTACTCCGCAGCTCGAAAGATGACTCCCTGGCAGTCTCTTACTCACGATCGGGTTCGGATCCATGTTTGTGAGACACTCTATGCTGAGTATCTAGATAGCAACTCTTCCGCAAGAGACGAAGATAGGACATCCTCGGAGTCTGACGTATGATGAAAGTTTCGGCTCGAGTACCCCGCTGTTCTGGCAGATAATTGTGATTGCCTGGATGATACCTCAGTATTATTGTTTCCAAGCGAGTTGATCTCCTGCCTTGGCAACGTACGCTGCGGAGTACTGCTGTTTCAAGAATATCCAGCTAGTACCTACTTTCGGGAGGTACGGAGAAGGCTGTTACAGATGGACGAGTCTCATGCATACAACATTCAATAATAAAAAAATAGATAGCGCCCTGATTGTGATCAACTTGACTGTTTATTCGATACCACCAGCTTCTGTCAAGTAATTATCAACGAAGGGTCTATTCGATAAGGGTGAATCCATTGCAAAATGGCTGTATTCTGGGTATTTTTACCAATATCATACGATCGGTACTAAAGGCAAAATATCCCGTGACCACTACCCAACCAAACCAGCTGGTGGCCAAATAATCCTTGAGGACCCATCTTAACCCCCAAGATGCTACCTACTACTGTACAGTCCTTTACCCATCCGAGCAAGCAGCCTACTACTGTACCTAAATTATCTGCCACTAGATACATAGGTATCAGTTAGTTTATCTACTAGGTACTGCCACCATAGGTACGGAGAGCGGAGTAGACAACTAGTCACCATTATCAATAACCTGACTAGTCCGGAGTCCCGCGATTTTGAGACCTCTACTTACCTACTACTCCCAGTCTCTCGTCCTCGTTTCCCGCTAAAACTCACTAACCCAGAGAATCGCTGCCTCGACTTCTTTTGTTCCCTTTCTCTCCCTCTGCTTCCCTCTCTTCCTTTAATCTCCACTAATTCCTCCTCTCTACCCTCCATTCTTCATCCTCGTCCTCGTCCCACTGACACGTCTGCTATTCTCATCTGTCTCTTCACCTCTTCTCTTCTTTATCTACGTTTAACTATCTTCTCTTCACTTCTTCTTCTCAGAAAGCTTGACATACCTAAACTCCGAAAGCGCCATATTTCCCTCACCTTTAGCTACCGCGCCACTACTAGTTCAACAGCAACTCTCCCTCCCCAAGGTCTGAAGAAATTCTTCACATACGTATCTTCCAGTCCAGTTCGGTGATCGGACGGCCGCGTGAAAAATTACAAAACATAGGGATCTTCGCTTTGCTAGGCGTGGTCGAGCACCAGCTTCCACGCGCGACTGCTGGTGGTTTCGACTACGAGTGCTCTCTGTCCGCCACGGCCTCCGAAAATGACGATCGAAACACCCAGCAATCGATTACTACCGCTATGAGTGATGTTGATGCAGTGTCCTCCCTGCCAGCTGCCCTGCATGCCGGACAAAATGCTACTGCTGTCACGGTGAACCCCCGGTCTGCTTCTGGTTCGCTGCCTTCCAAGAGGGTCTCTCCGTCGCCCCATCGCAGAGGAGAGGATACTCGCGTCAAGGAGGTTGATTCTGCTTCAGGAGATGGGGATGGCCCGCCGAGCCCCAAGGCTGACTCGGAAGCAGAAACTATCATCCAGTCGGGCCGCGAGTCTCTGTCGCCAGAAAAGAGACGGAAGTATATTCAACATGAGCCAAGGCGACACGATGCTCAAGTTGACAACGGTGACGCAGTGGAGGACAGTTCACTACCTGATGACTCACGCATTAGGAAGAGAAAGCGATCGATCGATGGCTCCATCGCGGAACGCGACCGTGGGTTCTCCCCGGAACTTCATTCTCGGACAGCCGTTTCCCCATCACGCGTGAAACTCGAGAAGCCAGAGGAACTACAGCCTCCCCTAAATACCCTTTACTCCTCTCTGTCTTCACATAGCACGGAGACTGTCCCTGGTGGCCAGAACGTCCAGGTCTCACGGAAGCGTAGCCATAGCGAAAGCGTCGACAGTGAGAGGGACAGGGCTCAATCTAGTCGTCACTCGACGGCTTCCCGCGACAAAGAGCGAAGGGCCATCAACGGCATCAGTCTACCTCCACCAGAGTCAATCGATCGCTCTGTCTCGCCTATTCGGTCGGCTCACAAGCGAACTGCTTCCGGTCCGCAGCTTGGGGGCAGTGACTTGCAAAAGAAAAGGAAGACTACTACTCCCCTCATCACTGGATTTCAACGGCAAAGCTCCGAGGACAGGCTGTCAGTTTCGTCTTCAACCAGTGGCTCTCCTCTACCCAGCTCTCAACTGCGAAAACTAGCCGGTGTCGATGGCGCTTCAGCATCTCCTGCTAGGCCAATAGGTCACAAGAAACAGCGCGACCAGAATGGTCGAACCCGCCTAGCGCGTGCCTGTGCAGCTCAGGAACTGGAGGCAGCAATGGCGAGGCATGCAGAGCGCCCAGAAGATCTGAATGTGGCCGACAATGCGGGAAATACGCCCCTCCAAATTGCTGCCCTCGAAGGGTGTGCGCCAATTGTGAAATTCCTTCTAGAAGCTGGCTGTGACATTGACACAAAAAATATTGACAAAGATACTCCTTTGATTGATGCCGTCGAAAATGGCCACTTGGAAGTCGTCAAACTCTTACTGGAGGCGGGCGCAAATCCTCGCACGGTCAACGCGGAAGGTGATGAGCCGTATGATTTGGTCCCGTCGGACTCGGAAGACTATGCGGAAATTCGCCGTGTACTTGCAGAGGCTAAAGCCAATCCCCGGCCTGGTCGTCGTTCCGAAGAGCGTGCTGGTTCCGGAAATAAGGAAATATGCTCTAAAAGAGTTGCTGCTGCAAGCCCGCGCGAGTCCCCCCCGGTGAATGGTCCCCGTAGCCCGCCTCTATTCGGGGCCACTACGAGGCGAAAGACCGTGCGAAGTGAAGCTACGCGAAACGACCTACTCTGGACCAAAGCTACACCGGAGAACCTGCAAGCATTTGCTGCGAAAGGTGATATTGCGGGAGTCGCCAACATTCTCAACGTTGGGCAAAAAGCCGACTCTGAGTCGATGATCGCTGCAGCCAAGGGCGGTCATGATGAGGTACTGTCTCTGTTGCTTGGGATGGGCGACGCAGATCCCGATCCTGAGCCCCTTCAAGCAGGACACCAGAAACCTGGCTACAATACGCCCATGCTTGCGGCGATCGGCCGCGGTAATCTTGCTGTCATACGCTTGCTGCTGGATCAGCCAAAATTCAATCCCACACGCCGGCTTTACCGTGATCGTACCTACTTTGAGTTATCCCGAGAACGGAGAGCTGACAACTGGGAGGAGGAATATGACTTGCTGAGAGAGGCCTATGACAATTACATTAGAGCCAAGCGTCTGCGCAAGCAGGAGGCTTCTTCACCTAAACGACCGCGCGACAGGGAGAAGGAAAACAAGCGGCCGGGTCGCAGACATTCCCCATCCCCTGCGGTTTCTTCCAGGAAGGCCCTAGCAAGTCCGAGCGCCGGCCACCACCGAGAGCTCTCTTCCAAAGATGCCGTTGCATCAAAGGAAAAGAAACGAGATGGTGTAGCTCACTTAAAGGAGAGATCAGGATCCAGCACGAATCGGCCCAGGATAGCCCACAAGGGCAGTGACAATCCGGCGGAAGCCGATGAGTTTCGGTTGGAGTCTGCTCAGTCCAAATCATTAGCAACACTCGCCAAAGATGAGGAAGCTCCCAGGAGAAGGCGTTTGATTGCAGGGCGCCCTCCCCATGATCGCGATCGCAGAAGACCCAGCATACCATCTTCCGATTCCCTGTCCGGCCGTGAGGACTCTGTCAAATCCCGGGTGGATCCTTCTACCGAAGCTACGACGGTTCCGAGTGGCCCTCTAGCCTTGAAACGCGGACGCAGTAGCGCAAGCCCCGAACGCCCCCGTTCTCGTGGTCCAGATTCCGACCATCACTCGCGCGAAGGCCAGAAAAAGAAACGCCGTGTTCTATCCGAAGACAGGACGCCAAGCATGACCAATGGTGGATTGAAGAAAAGTCACAACATCGGCATATCAGAGGAGTCTAATACGCATGTGCGCCCGAAGAAAACCGAGGATCGATTGTTGGAGCGCGAGCGTGATCAGCAAGTTGGTAGTACACCGCACATGACGACCGACTCGAGAACTGTGAAGAAAGAGCGAGAAAGGCAGGATGTAGGCCACCTGGCTGACATCCCCATGGAAGATGCGAAGAGTGTGGCTAAGAGGTCCGAGTCTGAAGAACGGCGCCGAGAAGAGGCAGAACGGCGCCGCGAAGAGGCGAAACGGGCCGAAAAGGAGCGTATCGCGGAAGAAGAGCGTCTCGCAGCTGAAGCGGAAAAGGCTCGGTTGGCAAAGGAAGAGGAAGAACGAGCTGCTCGCCTTGCGCGGGAAAAGGCCGAGGAAGAAGAGCGCAAACGGAAAGAGGCCGAGCAAAGGCGGATCAAGCAAGCCGAGGATGAGCTTCAGAAGAGACTAGAACAAGAAAGACTGCGCCTTGCGAAATTGCGGAGGGAGCAGGAAGAGCAGGAGCAGCGGCGCCGGGCTGCACTTCCAAGTCGGCTTCGAGTTGCTGCCCACCTCGTCGGCTCCAATGACCCACGAGCGCGGAGTCATGCCTGGCTGAAGAGGTTCATGCCTGTTGTTACTGCATTCACAAAGCAACTGGATCCTTCATGTGATACCAGCGTCGCGGACGAGAGATGGGTTCCAAACTACCTGGTGGCACCTTTATTAGCGACCAACGATCTCCAGCTGTCCCAGTACACAAGTTGGGAGAAGCGTAACGCTACTCCCACTCAGCGGGAGAATCTGTGGCGCGTCACCCGTCGGATGCTGGTTCAGGGAGATGATAAGGACTTCATGAGCTCCTCATTTGGGCAGATTATGCAGAAGGATTGCGAAACACGGCCAAAATACTTTGACATGGAACATGTATTTTGGATTAGAGTAAGTCATTTCCGCTTGCGACCGAGTTTCATTACGTTCAAAATGAGTTCATCCACTGACATTCATGGTAAACAGCTTTCGGACTTCATGGACCTCGTCCCGCATGTTCCGCATCTTCATGGTCTTGACATTCAATTCCTCAGGATGCACATTGATCAGGAGCCTTCTACAGCAGCACCTCTCCTTGAATCAGCGCAGCCCAACGGGCACGGGCCGGAATATGCCCATCTTGATAATATTCATGGCTTTCCTGCTGGGATACCTGGGCTTACCAACGGATATGGCCATTCACGGCCAAGTACATACGTTTAGTGCCTAGTGCTTTTCTTTTCTTCTTGTCGCGGCGATCATCGAGCCTAGCCTTAAATGTACAGATGGCTTGTTTCCTCGGTTGTATGACTATGATACCTCTTACTATTGGCGTGATGTGAGATGCGATGTGTGATGTCTCGTTTGTTCGGATAACGGACCCTTGGATAGAGTCAATGAAGCGTATTGATCGCTCAATGCTAGGTCTACACGTCCCTATAGCTGAGTAGGACGACCAATCTTCACTAAGTTGGGTTTGCTTACTCATGGACTAACTGCACAAATCCGTGAATATGAGCCACGTGACGGCAGAAATAGTACAAGCGCTAGGCGGTAGGGCACAATCCAGAAAAATAGGCGAATGATCACCCAAATTTTACCGCCCGCACACACTCAAACAACAGCCCAACAGATCATCTCCACGAACTCTTTGAGGATAATCCGACATTTGATATCAAACGTCAGAAACACTACCAGTCAAAATGGTACGTATCAGCTGAACCAGAAGTGATACTTTCTTTGCAATCCAGACACGAAAGTGAAGCCATACCGAACGAGAGGGGAAACTTGGCCAGCACCGACGAGTATATCATAATGCTCTATCGGCAACGCTGCCACCAAGCACAACCCAGCAATGCGAATTTCCGCTCAGATGATGTCCTTCGCTATTCGAGTCCTACGCATAGCGCATCATACCTGCCAAAAAGACAAAAGCTAACCATGAACGTTGCGTTTTAACAGTCGGACGGAGAAGAGACCATGTCCAACCCCCCCGTTGCCGCCGCCGATGAGGTCGAGGTTTCCGCTGATGCCGGCGCTGGCGGCCAGATGTCCGTCCTCGATGCTCTGAAGGGTGTCCTCCGCATTGCTCTGATCCACGACGGTCTTGCCCGTGGTCTCCGCGAGGCCGCCAAGGCCCTCGACCGCCGTCAGGCCCACATGTGTGTCCTCAACGAGGGCTGCGAGGAGGAGGCCTACAAGAAGCTCGTCATTGCTCTGTGCTCCGAGCACAAGATCCCCCTCATCAAGGTTCCCGATGGAAAGATGCTCGGCGAGTGGGTCGGCCTCTGTATGTATACCCCTGTTCCATCTCCCCTTTTGTGGTGACTTTGCGGAAGTTGGGGCTTGGGGCTAATGGTTGTTTGTGTGACTAGGCCAGCTTGACCGTGAGGGTAACGCCCGCAAGGTTGTCAACTGCTCTTGCGTTGTCGTCAAGGACTGGGGTGAGGAGTCCCAGGAGCGCTCCGTCCTCCTCAACTACTTCCAGACTGAGCAGTAAATGCACTGCCGTTGCGATGTGCTTTAGCGGATTGGATGTGATGTGTGATGGGCACGGAAATGGGGTGGTTTGAAGGGGAAGAGGAGCTTCTGGTTACGTGACCAATGTGCCTGGGGCTCGGGCTCTTCTTCCCCGTCCTCGATACGTGATCCATTCACTTCGGATTCACATTTATCTAAGGTCAACGGACTAATGGAATGAAGAATATTCATGATCAATGAGTGCCACTTCAATCTTGAGTATCAGATGTAGGCTTAAAATCGTAGATGTGATGCTTCTATGTCCATTCAGATACATCAAGTAACTGTCAATAATGGCACCAGACTTGCAAACTCGTCCCGAGCCAAACCAGTATCGGGAACATCTCCTAAACGGCTAAATGTATGTACTCGCACCGTAAGATGCCCCCAAATCGAAGATCGAGCAAAGCGAAAACTCCAGAGCTATGCGAAAGCAAAATACAATCGCCCAAGTCAATGGACAGTGCCAAAGAGAAAGTAGATCATGTCAAAAGCGGATATTGGGAGTAAGGCGCCTCTGGGGCACACCCGACCCAAAATTACCTGAAGTTGTATGAAGGACGAATCATCTTCTCCGTCTCTGGCTTCAGTGACAGCTGCTGATACGGTGAGCTTCCCGGGTCGTAGTAGAGACCTTCAATGTGCCCAGTATCTCGACGAAGAGAGATATAGTAGAATCCTGAGATTGTGAGGCCCTGGCGCGCGTCGGTGGGAGTGATGAAACAGCGTTCTGTACTATCATTAGCACAAATCATGAACATATTAGAGAGGGGGTGAAAGATCAATACACACCTTTCCATCGCATCAAGATCCACCGTTTGGATAGCTCTTCGGTAATCCATTTTCGACTCACAAGGTTCCTTGTCATCTCTTCGTCCGTCAAGTTCTTAAACGGTTGCAGCTCGCGCCAGTAGGTACTGTCAGTTTCAGCGTCGGCTTTGAAATTTTTCGTCTCAAGAGTGTGAGTGTTGAAGTCTATAATTTCCCCCTCCAGAAAGGTGACGATATGTGCATCATGAGATGGCGACGTCTTATCAGGAATGTTGTATGCTTCCATTGTACCTGAAAGCGTCATCTCTTGGTAGTTGATATTGTGAATGGTGACTTTGACCGGCCAATTCTCATCCTTCCCTGTTCCAAAGTTGTGGATATTATTGTTAGCTAGGTACCGCCGACCGCTTGTCGTGTAAACACTGATGCGGCCATTATCACCGCCATTGACAATCACTGGTTCGGTAGCCGGATGGGAGGTTGGCCCACGGTGCGCGAAAATCGAGGTGGGAGTGCATGCTGCCATCTGCGAGCCTTTGAAAACCATACCGGGACGTAGCCAGGAACATGGTGGTGGCGGCGCAATTAATGTAGTATCCAAGATAAAATCATCTTCATCCCAGGAGAAGTCGAGTTGAACAAATCCACCTGCGGCAGCCGATGAAAGGCTTTCTTCAAAGGAGGTCGAATAGCGCAAACGGTCGAGATATCTGATAATTTCCTTCAAGCGCGGACTGGGAGGATGATCCATATGCAGCTGCCGATGAGCGTTGACACGAGCGCGCATATCGCCTCGACTACTAGGTATGAACCGATATGCGCGTGAAGTCGGGGACTGAGTCGCTCGTTCCCTGCCATCTTCTGAATCCTGACTGGTACGCTCCCGGTCCAAAAGATAGTTGTGTAATGTCCGCGTCCTCGAGAGGCGCGGCTGGCGTCTGACCGACTGCAACAGAGCTTCGGCCGTCGCGAGAGTTGTGTCGTCCATCCGGTGTCTGCTACTCTCTAAAGGCTCAGTGGGGAGTGGAAGGGGGCTTCGTCCGGTCGCATCACGTCGTATGTGGCGCCTGGACGTCGCATTGCGATCCGAGAGTCTGCCAAACCAAGAGGAGATACTGTTGGGATCCTGCAGAGGTTCGTAAACCAAATCGTCCTCGTCATCCTCGTCGGAGCCTGGGGCCCAGCCGTACAGCGACCGTATGTTGGAGACACGACCTTCATAGTTCGGCATATTCGTCGGTTCCTCTCGTGGCCGACGCACTATGGGATGGCGACTGATTTCCACGGACATACGTACTCCAGTCGACTCGTCCAACTCCATCGGATCAGACTCAAACTCGGAAAGGATTTGATGCCGTCGGCGACGTTGTCGACTTGACGAGGAAGAGCCGTGAGGAGAGCGAACTCGAGATCGAAGGAAGATCACGTTGTCATCATGAGCGTCATGCGAGGCGGCCGCTGGGAGAGTGGGGACAGGGGTTGAGACAGCGCTCAACTGTTGAAGGGATGATGCGAATACCGGCGGAGGAGATCGAGCAGAGATTCCTTGCTGTCCGAGAACGCAAATCGATGAGCACAGGTGACGAAATGAAGACACAAAAAGTCAAACTAAGTAAAGTGGCCCAGGAACGAAGGCCAGGACATAGAATCGTGCCACGTGCGGTATAGTGGAGTTGATGACCGGGCGCAAGATGTCATAGGCAGATGAGGCACAGGATATGGACCCTTAGAGTTACGGACAAACGCAGGCACTTACCGAAGGAGTATTTTCTGGGGGCATGGTCCTCTAGATCAGCCCTGCGGAGGTTGACAAACCCGCCGTTGACCTATGGATTGCGCACGGAGACTGGGAGAGGGTGACAGAAAACGACGAGGACGATTGGAAGGACGATGAGGTGGACGAGGCATGCGAGCCTCTCTTTACGGTTGGAATGATTGGGAGTTTAAAGTGAGGAAGAGGCGCTTCGAGATAGTGATAGATCGCGATGAATAAATGGACGCTGGATGACGAGGGGATCGAGAGATAGAGGAACGAATGAACGGGACTGATGTGAAGGCGATCAGGAAATCTCCGTATTTTGCCTCATTTTCTCTTTTCGGATTTCCCCTCAGCCGACGGTTTCCATCATGACTCCAAGTAGCAGTCGGGTACCCTTGGAGGTGGAAGACAGACAATTATTCAATCTGGAATGACGAAATATGCCAGGAATGGCTGATTGGATGATTGATGCCAGTAACCTGGTTGTTGACGTTGTTGCTGGCTTGTAGGTAGCCAAGTTGTGGCCCGTAGAAATTATAGATTCCAGAGATTATTCTACGAGAATCCATCGATCTTCAACTCTACTGATGGCTACTGGGTCTTCTTCGAGGCACAATTATCACGCTCTTTAACACTTGGATCTCCTACGCATGTCTAAATCGGGGCATTTGTATGCTGTCCCGAGTGCTTGCTTGGTGACTGTCTGATCGCTAATATGGGGATAATCTGCTGGCATGAACTGAACCGCAGTGTCCAGGACCACCAAGCATATTAATATTACTGATAATCAGCCTCTCTGCACAACATATTTTCTTTCCTTGGAGCCTGTAAAGGGTGATATACTCGCGTGAAGTGGCCTTATTCATCGGAAAGTTCAAAAGGATGCCATGCCAGATGGGTAATATTTCCGACGGTTACTCCTGCATTCAGGACCCTTCGCTCCATGGATTTCGGTTCCTTACAACAGGTTTAACCCCAACTCCTTCCATCTTGATTTCATAATGTGTTGACTTCTGAGAAAGCTGCCAAGGGCTCCCATATAATCATCCCACGGTCGGCAATCGGTATCCAAGAGCGGAGGAACTCCGACATGCTTGATCCCCCCACCCCCACGTCCAGAGGGGAATGGGGGGTAATGGTTGTATGAAGCTCTTTTACATTATTGATTTTTCTCGCTACAGGTGATCGGTTATTTGTATCTACTTCTGTCCGCTTTAATTTTGTATTTCAGCAAGGCCGCATCTTCGTCTGACCATCGAGACGAGAAGCTCCATATCCCAAACTCTCCCCCCAATTCCCTGCCGAAGTCGACACCATGGTCAAAATTAAGAGCATTGAATATTTCCGTGTCCTTCCCAGATGGCTGTTCGTCAAGATAGTTGACGAAGAGGGCCAATATGGCTGGGGTGAGAGTACGCTTGAAGGCCACACCGAAGCCGTGGAAGGGACGCTTAATGCATTGTGCAAAAGATTCCAGGGCTACGAAGCAGAGTATGTGCTCAAATTACTGTCCGTCACAGCCCCATCTGCTGACCGGTTGACTTTGCTGGCTGCAGTGATATCGAACACATCTGGCAAATGGCCTGGCGACTCGGATTCTACCGCGGAGGGCCGGTCTTCATGTCCGCCATCTCCGGCATTGACATTGCGCTCTGGGATCTCAAGGGCCGCCGGCTAGGCGTCCCTGTCCATCAGCTCCTTGGAGGCAAAGTCAGGAACAAGCTCTCCGTCTACGCCTGGATCGGCGGAGACCGTCCAGGCGATGTCGAAGCCGCGGGCAGAGCACGGCTAGCGCAGGGGTTCAAAGCGATCAAGATGAACGCTACGGAAGACATCAACTGGCTGGATTCGCCCAGTGTGCTCGACTCATGCGTCGAGCGCCTTAAGGCCGTCAAGGCGCTCGGCCTCGACGCTGCCCTCGACTTCCACGGCCGACTGCACAAGCCCATGGCGAAACAGCTCGCCAAGGCCCTCGAACCTCACCGGCCGCTGTTCCTCGAGGAACCTCTCCTCTCCGAGCACCCGGAGGGCATCAAGCAGCTCGCGGATCAGGTCTCGTGCCCCATCGCGCTAGGCGAGCGGCTCTACAACCGTTGGGATGTGAAGCGGTTCCTCGAGGACGCGAGCGTCGACATTCTTCAGCCGGATATCAGCCATTGCGGTGGGATCTCGGAGCTGCGGCGCATTGCCTCCATGGCGGAGACGTATGATGTTGCCATTGCGCCTCATTGCCCGCTAGGTCCGATTGCTTTGGCGGCGTGTATGCAGGTTGATCTCGCTACGCCCAACTTTGTGATCCAGGAGATGAGTCTGGGGATCCACTACAACACGGAGGCGGGCGAGTATGACATCACAAGCTACGTGAAGGATCCTAGTGTCTTCGAGGTTAAGGATGGTTATGTTGAAGCCCTGACGGCTCCGGGGCTGGGCATTGAGGTCGACGAGGAGGTTGTTCGGCAAGTCGCTCTGAAGTCGGAACCCTGGCTATGCAAGGAGTTCTTCGGCCCCGATGGCGGTATTCGTGAATGGTAATCGGAGTGCATGGACGCACGTAGGTTGAAGATGCGGTTCATTCGCCTTGTTTTGAATAGCGGTACATTGAATTATAGACTAATGCAAATGACAAGTCCATGATGTGAGCCGATGCAAGCMAGAATATTGTAGCCTTCTAGTCATCAGCACGGGAGAACTTCGACAACAAATTCCCTGTACTCAAATGAAAATCCTCTATCACCATTGGTCTAATAATTGCCAGGGGGTCTATATACGCTTTCTTATAGTTCTAAAGACAAGGGTTAGTATTGTGCAACTCGTACCATCATGACTTTCGCGCAGCGTTGCATTCATCGGCGCGCTCGAGGCAATCCAAGATCAAATCCCAAAAGGCCTCCAGGTCAACTCCTCTTGGGATAGCTACTCCGTGTCCGCCCATTGGAGTAGCTAGTGTACGGCCTAGCTGTCCAGTCTCCAACACGTTCATGGAATGGATGCCATCGGTGATCACGTCGACAGCAAACCGCTCACCATTCTTGTCATTGAACTTCAAGGCCTTGTTGGGGTGCTTGTTTGCAAAGGTCGGGTTAAGATTTGAGATAGCGACGGCCACCGCGAGCGGATCGTGAAGCGGAGGGCCGGACGACAAGCCGAAGACGGTGTCGTAGGTCTGAGCAAAGAAGACAAGCAGGGCGTGCATCATTCTCCTGAGGACCGAGGGCGTTTGGGTGGGATCACTGGATCCATGGAGAATGCGGTTTTGCACACTGCGAGAAGCAAGCACTTGATGAGTTAAATCCAACCCGATCATTGTTGTCTTCGGTGCCAGGGTAGGATTGCTGAAAATAGATTTGGAGGCCTCAGGATCACACTGTTGACCGAACACGATGTTAGAAATTACCCGGAAATCACACACGATACTGATATACGCACGTAAATATTGAATTCTGCCCAGGGTGTCACATTTCCAATTCTTTCATGTTCCCCCGGCAGTCGGCTCATGGGAGCATCTGTGAAGCCTCCACCAATAGCACCTCCCATAATGCTAAGACCCTGAATATGAGCCGCTACTTCGGGAAACGTTGCAAAGAGCAAGCCAACGTTGGTCAAGGTGCCGGTTGCGATAACCCAAGCCGTTCCCTTTGGCTGTGCCATGAGAGCATCACGCATTGCGACAACAGGGTTTGTGTCTGTCACAGGAAGCCTTGTTGCTTTCGGTAACAAATCAGTTCCATCGAGTCCGGAGTCGCCTGTATTCATTACGACGTCAGCCCTAGTATCTCATTGCAGCCATCGTATTACTGCTGGCGCAAGTACAGAAGGGTAGGGGTCGTGGACCGTACCATGAATGTCTGCAGCGTGAACTGCAGGCCGGCAGAAAGGCTTCCTGCTGCCGGCATAAACAGGAACATCTGGACGACCGATAGCTTCGAGGACTCTTAGAGCGTTAGTCGTCGTATTCTCGAGAGAGGAGTTGCCGTGGACTGTTGTAATTCCTAAGAGATGCAAGGACGGGTGATGCGCAGCGAGCAGAATAGCGAATGCGTCCTGTGACATTTCGTCTTTAGCCAGAATTGCTCATGCAACCTATAGTAAGCAACCTATAGTAATGTCGCGTTTCAGCGTTCAGCACTTACATCATGTCCTGGGGTCAGCTGGTCAGCAACGATGTGGCCAAGGCAAGTATAGATGAAGATTACGGACCAGGATCACAATCCAGCCATAGAGGAATTGGGCTATCAAGGGAGGGTGCCATTCTTGAAAATTCGCAAGGAGAATGCAGAATGGTCAGGAAACTCTTGCTTCTCTCAAAAATCCGCGTAGTTTTCGTTGACTGTGAAATTCGATTGCCTTGATGCTCACCCTTGATAACGTGCGGGGAACCAGAGATAAAAGGGGCTTTGTTGTCTTATCGGGAGCGCAATCACCCGCAAACTCACAGCCCTGAGCCCTACTTTCCATATTAGGGTGGCATAATGTGGAGCTGCGCGTCATTGTGATTGGAGCTGAGAACCTCTACGTTTACCTGCATGGCTGTTCATCGTCGGATTGTCCACATCACTGTTGGTGGCAGTCTCGATCTGAGGCTGAAAGTACCTTTTTAATTTTACCCTTCTATATCTCTCCATAAGGTTTTGAAAGTAATTTCGCCGTTCTCATGTTAGTACTGGGATGAAATGACCAGCGAATCTGTTCAGCCGGGTCTTACTCCGCTTTCGCATCTCAAGGCCCTGCCTACTACTTCCAGCTCCAAGCCAGTCGCGTTCAAAGACTCGTCCGTTTTGCAGGCACTTCCTCATCTTCGACGTCGGCCTAGATCATCAAAGAATGTCAGTCGCGATGAGCCGGTTAGCGCCACCAGTGACAAGGCAACTGTTGCATTGATAAGACGCGTTCTTTGTCCGCAGGCGGGCAATCAAAGCGGAGGTGCTTCAACCCCACAGCCATTGGAAGAACTGCTACCTCCTTTGACGAGTTCAAATGAAGTTGATCTTCAACTGTATGCTTTGATCGCCATAATCATCAAG